GAATACAACCCTAACACCGGCGCTCTGGTTTGAGTATATGTATCGGCGAGACATTTTCACGGTTACTTTCTCCCATTATTCCCATCCCCATTCTACCGTCTCCTGCGTGGCCTGACGGCCCTCCTCGGCACTTCAAGGAGAAGCAGGGTCAAGACATATGAAGGGTCATACGCCGTTGATCGGGTCTCTTCGGGCTTGTTTTGCTGACTGACTGACCTTTGCCCTCTTCTCTTCCGTTCGAAAGAAGTCCACCTCCTTGTCTCCCGATGTCTCGCGTTTGGACATTGATAGTTAATTTATATCCCCATCGACCAAAAAACATATGATCGACGTGCTATTATTCAAGGTTAGCTTCCAGCTGCTTCAGCACATGCACCCGCACTTCTGGCAGAACAGGCATGAGATGTCAGATGCCAGATGCCATACCATATTCTCCCCCTCGCTCGGATCCCTCTCTCCAAGGAATCCTATATTGCTTCATAATCATACGCCCCTCCCTTCTTCCCAAAAGGACATATCTTGCATGAAGGTTTTTTTTTTTTTTTTTTTTTTTTTTTTTTTCATTTCTGCCCATGAAGTCTCGTACTTTTTTTCGTAATTATCTGGAGTATTTGGCCTTCGTCATGTACACAGTGTGTCTGAAGGACACCGCTGGTCTTCTATTTGCTGAAATCTCCCATGTTCCGTGCATACCAGCCCCACAGATCAAGATCTGGATACTTACTCCACAGATTTCATGAGAGCTGATGACGCCGAAGAGAAAGGAGGGGGAAATATGAAAGAAGCAAAGAAAGGAAAGGGGTAAAAAAGACTCTTCAAGTAAACCCCGTAGATACCGAGCTGTCAACCTAACTTGAATAATAATACGCAAGGACCGACCAGTTCACTATTACTATTGAAATAGTTAAAGTTATGGAGTCGCTGGATATCTATTTATTATTACGAAAGCCTGAGCGCGTATGAACCACTCAATATCGTAACCAAACAGGTCCAGGTTGACGTTAGATTTCGGGTATTGTTGTAGATATACCCCATCTAACTCTCGTGATGCTGGTGATAGGAGGGTCTATCAACGTAATCCAACGCGCGTTATACGTACATGAATGAAAAGAATAAAGGCGGGCGTGAGCGATTTAAAACGGAGTCATTGTTTCGATATGGCATAGGGTGATGAAGAATCGGCTCAACCATTCCTGGTAATAAGGCACAAGGCGGAAAATCGCCCTATTTATGTGTATTGCGTAAGTATAAAGAGCCAAAGAGCAGGAATTATGGAGACACTTGCCTCTCTGTATACGGAGTTCTCCGACTGTAGACTCTGCAGTTTTGGCCCCCAACCAGCAGTCACGGCTGATTATCATCATAGATGACGTCCTCAGAAATCATAAACGCACTCACGCACTCCTGCCTTGCTCCAGGTACTAACCAGGTAGTTCTGCAACTAGCCTGGTCAGCCACCACCTGTGAACGGGACGTCCCGTTATATCAGCAGCCATTCATGCACACCCTCGATATCATGCCGGGATGGGCCAACCTGCTCGCGTTGCACAAGTCACGCCCAAGTACAACCACAAACAGCCTGCCAAAATAGTAGAAGGTGGGGAGAGAAACGGCAGTACGACTCGGTTAGACAACCCGCAGCAATGGGAGACCAGTAAGCACCCCATGTCAACCTTCGTTTCATCTGGCATGGGGGGTAGATGAGAGGCCAAATACTTTGAAATGGATGGATGGATGGATGGAGGGACAAGAGATGATGTACCGTCACTTGCTTGCCAGGGCCAATTCACAATGCCATCGAATAACATCGTTCTCCGCAGTCAACAACACCGGAACCTGCATAGAGGCGCAAGAGACCTGTGGCCATGGCAGTACGCCGTCCAGAACCGCCTCTAAGGAGGGAGCTAACCTGGAGAAAATAGTCGGATGACTGAAATTCTTTCATCAGAGCAAAAGGTCGCCTATCTCAATAGGCTACTCTACTCTGGAAGGAGGTCTCGCTTGGAGGTCTCCGAGATCGTTTTGTGTTTCGTTTCTTTTGTTCTGCTCACATTGCAGGCAAAGAAAATAAAATAACCCGAATGGCAAAGAATCCAACAGTTGCGCCTTTCTAGGCGTTCTGATTTGTCCGTAAATGCGAGATATCCCTGGCTAGGTCGATGATCCGTCAAGAAGAAGAAGCAGGTGTACTCCGTATAGGGCATGTATAATAGTATATCCAGCTCTGTTATGCTCGGCAGCCTGTTAATTTTCGGGTCGCCGCTGCCCAGCCTGACGTTAGCCTCCAGCGGCCAGGAGAAGCAGATCAACACGGGCTTCCATAGAGCTTCAAGATATCCCGGCCATGAAGTACTTCGTTCACGCAAGGTCCGCTTCGTCAACGGACGGTCGAAGACTCGAAGTTGCGCTGCTGCATTTCCAGTCACGACAAAGCTCGGCGTTTGAAATTTACGTATCGAGTTTCGTAAGTCTGCGGTATATTACAGTACGTGAAAGTTACCGCGTGTATCGAAAATAACACCCGAATATCAAAAGTCAAAAAAGAAGAAAAAAAAAAAAAAAACATCATCGCGAATTTTTATTTTATTTTTTTCCTTTCACTATTATTTTTCATTTGATCGATGGACGAACCTGCGCCGCGGCTTTCAACCAACCACAATCGTTGATCGAGAGCAAAAAAGGTTGCCGGTGGATCGCTGTCAAGGGTTGAGTAGCAGAGACTCGCAGGTTCATCATGTTTCTCACGTTTGCATTTTTTGCAGCCTGCGAAAGGGGGGGGAGACGAGGAGGGGTGGTTGGCCGCGCTCGACATGCAAGACAGAGAGGAAATGAAAAGAAAAAGCGGTTACCAAGCGTGTGATATTCTTCAATATCCTCGCGCTGGGCCCTTCTTCTGGCCATCGACTACGGAGTACTCCTTCGGATATACGGAGATGGTTCTGGATGTATTTCGGTTCTTTATAGACGGTACAAACCCTCTCTCTTCTTGGGAGGGCCCCCTTCTATGAACACTTTCAGTTTGCTCCTCCACCTTGCTTACTCTCTGCCTAGTAACGAGCTTCATGACCGGGACCTTGGTTGTTCTGTGGATGCACAGATATATGCCACGATCCTGTAATAATAATACTCAACTGCGTCTATGCATGCATGCATGCATGGTCCAACCCATCATATATATACGGAGTACTGACAAGGCTGCTGCTTCTGGATCTCTAGGCTCTCCGCAGTTGCTGGTGACTTCGACTGCCATGATATTCTGCTTGTCTTCTCAAGCGTGATTTTTTTTTTTCCCCCTTTTTTTGCATCCCTCTTGCTCGGTTCGCTGACTCGGTTCCCTTGTCCACCCAGTAGTCGTCCCGCTGTCTCCATTATTACCCACCTTATCCTCCTCTTGTACCTTCGTCTGCACCCCTGGTCTCCGGCCTAGAATCCAACTGGCGAGTTTCTACACTGGACGGCTGAGTTGTGTAGTACTTATACGCTGGAGGTTGGTTCTTGTCGACAACTCGTTGGCAAGTATTCTTATTACTGTGCCGTTTACGTATTTCCTGCATCAGCTCACCGTCTTAGGAGTTCACTCTCTCCACGTTTCTTGCTGCGTCCTTTTTTCCTTGCCCTCCTTCTTTTCTTTTCTTTTCTTTTTCTTTTTTTTTTTAAAAAAAAAAACCTTTGCGCTGTCTTTGTATTATTCTCTCTAATTCATCTCTTTTTTTTTTTTTTCACTCCAGCATTTGCCCCCTAGGCGCCAGGCATCGCTGCTCCCCCTGTCCCATGGTTACCTTGATATTCCCAGGAGACTGGTACCGCCTGCTCGCAACCCAGTCCAAACCCCAAGCAGAAGGCCAGGAGGCAGCAGAAGCAGAAGAGTAACAAATGCAAAGAAACAATACCGGAGCAGGTCTTGTCCCACTTTTTTCAGTCTGTCGCTAGTTAAGAAGTTATTATTACGGACATCCCGTTTCGGTACCCTTGGCCCAGGGATCGACTCTACACATATAAGTATATGGCCCTTCTCTCCTGACCCTCGCTCAACTTCATTATACCCCCCCAGAAAACTCTCTTTCTACCACTGTTATACTTCAAACATCGAGATATACTTTCCATAAGCTGCGCTTGAGGTGCAAGTGACTACACAACCAAACTGGCGGGATCAGAGACTGCATACATAAGGACACAGGGCCACCTCTGCACAAAAAGAGAGCGAGAAAGAAAAAGGTTATATATCGGGAGGCCACCTCGGAATCCATCTACAACAAAGAACACACCCTTTGAACGAACCAGGAGACCCTGAAGATAAAAGTGAAAACTGAGCAGAGAGGAAAAGGGAAAAAGTGGAGGCAGTCTTACAACGTCTTCCTCCTCTTCTTCCACCAATCCTCCCATCCCCTTGGTTCAGCTGTTGCTGTTACATCACGAATTATCGGTGGAGTGGGAAATACACAAAGATACGCCGCTCCACGTTTGAGGGACATCTTTCCCACTTCTCTCAACCGTCAGAAGATCTTCTTTGAGCAACCGACGCTTCCTCTCTTCAGATTCTTTTTCTACCACCCGCTCTACGCCTTGCATTCGAACAACCACGGGTGTGGCTCATCAACGTGGCTGTGGTCGCCGTTTCTACCAACCAACAAGAAAGGGAGAGCGCTCCCCCTTTTGGAGGGTTGTATTTCGCAAAAAGTCCCGGAAACCCACGTTTCGGCTGCGCAACCGGCCCCTCGGGCGCCCATAGCAAAATTGATTAGGCATACCCTGTTAAGGCCTGTGTCCAATATTGGCCCTTGCAAATTTGCATAAATTCCCCTGACGGGACTCCTCCCTCCCGATCTTCATTGCCTCTGTTCTCCCTTCAAATCCGTTATATTCCCCCCTCAACACTCGCCTATCCCACTTTCATCCCCTCCCCCCTCTCGATACTACATAAGTGCCAAAAAAATCTCCTGTGTCCGCTCCAAACTTTGCCCTAACAGAGGAAGAGCGAACACTGGCACCTCTTTTTCAAGATGGAATCGACGAGATACGGTTTACCGTCTCCAAAGTCACCAACCGAGTCATCAAAGAGGATCGCTATTGACACTCTGCTTAACCCAGAGAGTGTGTCAACATGCGACTCACACTGCTTGTATCCTACACGCAAGCCACAACCACCATATGTCGACTATCCAGATCGCCGTGAGAGGTACTCTAGTGGATCATCAACAACCATTAGCAGTGCCTGCTCAACACCCGTAAATACCTCCTTTCAAGGCTACAATCAGACGCATTTTCGCCCTCTCCAATACCTCAACACAGGTTATGGCTCCTATGATGGACGGCCGGAACCTACATCTGCAGCCTCCGACAGCTATAATTTTACTCACCACCACCATCACCACCATAGCACAATGAGTGGTAATGCCAACGCCACGGGCAAGGCACCAGTATCACCCACTTCCTCACCAACGCCTTATCGAAGAGAACGTTTCCCATCTGTCTCTAGCGGAGCGTCATCTGCACCGGTTCCAGAGCGCCGTCGACCACCTCGACCGAAGTACGACGAGGAAGAGATGTACTTTATATGGTACCATCGAGTTGATTTAGGCCAGGAATGGAAGCAGGTCCGTGAATGCTTCAACGCTCAGTTTCCAAACCGTCAAAGAACTGGCTTCCAGGGAATACAGTGCAAGTATTACCGCTTTATCAAGGAAAAGAACTGCCCCACACTACGCGAACAGCGGAGAAAAAGGAGCGCTGCTGCTGCTTCCGCTGCGGCTGGAGGTGAGACCGGCAGCGACTCTGAAGGAAGAGCGAAGGGCCATAACTATGGCGGATCCAATTGCCATTTCAACGAGGATGGGCCAGCCTATGGAGTGATTCGCTGGACGGGCACTCGATTCCCTTGGATGAAGCAGTAGAGCCATCCCGCTCTGGCTGCACCTACCGGGACCTTTCCATAGCCTCAGTTCTTTCTTCTTTTCCTCCCTGATATCTTAGTTCGTTGGTGACTGGGTCCAATATAACGATGCTACGCGTGAAATGACTTAATGTTCTAATGATAACTTTTCTTTCTTGGTAAGCCAAGGGAACAGATTATACGACATGCTTCCAGTCGTTCTCTCGCAAAGCACTCCTTAGCCTTCCTTTACCCCTTACATATATACCCATTTTATTATATCTGGAGACTGCTACTGCGTCATAACAGCCACAAAAGTTGCACAGATACTGGCAGTAAATAGATGCCCCAGGCAAGGGCATAGAACACCTGACCACATACTCATACTCGTTCATTTCTATATATATTTGTTCAATTATTCATTTCTACTTTCTCACGTTCATCTAAATAACATCAACGCTTCAGGTTGATCCCGTCATTTGAGCCCTTCCTGTATGATTATCCACAGATTCGTACTTGGCTATTGGTCATCGGGCTTGTTTGTTGGTGCTGCAGTGGTTAGGCATGGCGCCTATAATCCTTCTTCGCAGTATGACAGAGCAGGTTGGCGGTTACATTATACGGGGTATCTATCCATGAGCTTCCATATTTCTTGCCTTTCTACATGTATCACTCTATTGGCCTATTTTTATCTATTGTTGTATCCCTAAGGCCACAACATGGCCCTGGGAATGGATTGGGGGAGAAGTGGCAGCAATGTAATCACTAATTGGTCTTTACTCAATTTATCGACTGTAAAAACAGTCAAGAACGGTAGCGAGGGAAAAAGGTGTTGATGTGGTGAAACGGGAGTTCATGCAGGAGAATAACAATACGTTTGACTTGCATCTTCCATCTACAGGCCATCTATAGATGTATATATCCAATAATGGGGCCAAAAGCGCCTCCAAGCCGACTTTCCAGTCTCCACTCACCTAGTTAACTACTTAGTCCTCTTTTTTATGCCTTCAGTCGCTATTTTTAGTTATTAGTTATCGTATGCAGCTATCCTATTCTTGCGAGCGCGTACAGTCCATGCGGCTAAGGGGGAAGAAGCAAAGTGTGACTTCAGCTTGCTTAACCACATGCATGAGACCTCATTAACTGCACCACGCATAAATATTCCTCTAGAATGGCAGAATTAGAATGCCCCAGTGTCTATACGTGGTGACGACTAGTTAAAAAGACCTCTACCTGGTTATCCTCTGGCTCCGCTGACAGCTAAAGTATCCCTCCACCACCCCTCCCACCTCTGCAAATAGCTCTTGTCAAAATAACACCCCTTTGCTCAGAACAGTTGCCATGCCACTGAACATATAACTAGGTGACTGGCCAAAGGAATTTCCTTGAAATATTCGCTATTACAGTGTTATTTACTCCATCGTTTTTACCGAGTTAGTTAAGCCAATGACTATGTGAGATGCAAACACTGGCCGCTTTTATGCGTCAGGAGCAGCTATATTACAGATCAAGGCATTTCATTATTAACAATAACGGTCAGTCGGTCCCGATCTCGTCATCTCTGTGTCGAAAGAGAATGAATACGTGGACTTGCTGATAAATCCTGGATCGAAGCCACGGACGAAAAGCCGGACGTCCGCATACCCACGGCGGACGACTTCAGCAGGCCCTCATAGTCCGCCGCAATACCTCTCTTAACGGACGAAACCTGTGAATAGGGGCATCTTCCAGTGGCTATCCTTCCGCAGGCTTCAGAAGAACAATCCTCCAGGCTGCTAGTTGCGGAGATGGAAGAGGAGCCAGGCCTAAGGATGGGGTTATATAAAGTGGCATCAGTCCCAGCAACAGAACGGGAGTCTTATCCTGCGAAATCAGCAAAACCAAATCCTAACCCGCAATCATGTCTACCCTCAAGCCATTGAAACTATATGGGGGAATTTTTCCTGCCAACCCCCTCAAAGTTGCTCTTGTTCTCGAAGAGCTTGGCCTGCCCTATGAGACTGAGGATGTCCCCATGGCAGAAAGAAAAAAGCCACCATTTACCAATATCAATCCAAACGGCCGTACCCCAGCCCTTTACGACCCAAACACCGACCTGAATATCTGGGAATCTGGGGCAATCGTCAGCTACCTCGTCGACAAGTACGATAAAGACCACAAAATCAGCTTTCCACACGATACCAACGAATACTACAGTGCAAACCAATGGCTTCACTTCCAGATGTCTGGCCAGGGACCATACTATGGCCAATACTTCTGGTTCATCAATTACCACCCAGAGAAGGTTCCCAGTGCCATCGATCGATACTACAACGAAATCAACCGCGTAGTTGGCGTCCTGGAGAAATGGCTTGCTGGTAGCGAAGATGGAGGTGATGGAAAGGGGCCGAGGAATTATATCATGGGTGACAAATGCACCTACACGGATCTAGTGCTCTTCCCATGGCAGATATTCCTCCCAAGGATTGTGTGGAAGGGAAAACTTAACCCAGAGACGGAATTCCCGAATGTGATGGCCTGGGTGAAAAGGATAGGGGCCCGGCCTTCTCTTGAACGGATATTAACAGAAGTCAACGCCATAGCCGAGCCGTTCCTCAAGGCAGCGGAGGAGAAGATGGCAAAGGAAGCGGAGGAGGAGAAGCAGTAACTGATATGTAACTAGCCAGGAGACCTCACCGATGAAATTACAGCCGACAAAGCTTTAGCTGGTTACCCCATGTGCTGCCATCAACTAATGTAGCCCGTAGATCCTGCGTGTCGGCTGATTAGCCAATTAGTTAAACTAGTTAGTTACCTAAGTTATGTTAAATGCGGAGCGTGGCGGAGCGGAAAAGCTTGGCATATTCCCGAGGCTGCACTTAATTTTAGCGATACAAAAGACATCACAGAATATTTCCCAGGATACCAGTATATGTTTACCAGTCATGACACTGGAGTTAAGATGGCAAGTATCTGGAATGAAATTATAGCTGGGATTTGCGTGGTGAGAAAAACGAAAGAAGAGCGAAGGGATATGAAGACGGTAGATCTATTATAAGGGTTGGACTAGATTTTGATCAGACATTCACTGCCAACATTGCTTTCCTCCTTTCCACCTCAAAGAATAATGCTATAACCAAACACCATGTATCCAATCATGAAGATCCATCTACACCGATCGAGGCATTTACAACGGCGGACATCTGCTTTAGGTAGTTTCCGCAAAATACAACGGCTTTCCTGCAGCGTCTTGTGCCATTTTCTCAAGTTCCTCGTCACTAGGATTCTTGATGAACTTGCGATCATGCGGGACCATTGGGTCAAGACCATACAGGCTCGTATTGATTTCGGGGCCCGCAATACCCCACACAAGGAAATCTCTCTCGGGCGTAAATATTTTTGGGGGGCAGTCATCGTCAAGATGGCGTGCATCTTCAAGATCGATTATGTAACTGTGCAAAGGAAAGTGTTATTAATAGGGTGCCCAATACGACTCAGGAATGGTAGGCTCGTTATACGTACCATTTTTTACTCTCGCGGTCCCACATCAGATTGCGACGATGGGGGTCATAGTGAATGTATCTTCTGGAATAAAATTCCCTTATGAGAGAAAAGGGCACAATTAGAATTTTCAAAGAAAAAAGGCAACGGGTTGGGGTTACCTACCGTATTGTTTTGGCAAAAGCCAGTCTAACTTGGTCTCTTTCAAACATAGGCAACTCGTTAAAGTTTTGAAGGTTTCGCCCGGGCAACCTCTCCATGACAATGAATACCATAAATCCACCAGGAAGAGGGTCATTTTTCCGCGTCTGCTCATAAAACCCATGATCTAGAAGCTTTGGAGTGCAAGTACTTCCAGCTTCCGTCAGCTCTTTTAGATTAAAGACCTCCATACCTGCTTGAAAGCTACAATCTTGGGGCTTGGTGGGTGTAGGAACATTATAGTCATTGGGAATTCTAAGTGAGCTTCGTAAGAATCATCACGTTATAGAAGGTTACGGGCAGATTGGGGGCTGATGCCTACTGTATTCGTATCTTCGCTATACCCTGTACCCCCGGAGTAGGACCTTTTACCTGAGTCGTAACGCAAACACCAGCTGCCTCTGTAATGTAGGCATCATATACCGGATCATTCAAGTCCCAGACCTCGCGCTCAGAGAAAATAGGACCAAGTTTCCATTCAGCAGTACTGGTAGAGATATGAGTATAGTTCGGCACCTCAAAGGATGATCTATTGCAATACAGCTCGCGTAGATCCCCTTCCAGCTCGTTAACATTCATGGTATCCAACGACAGCAAACGCGAAGAGGAGAAAAACTTGATTACTCTCCTTGCCTCGATAGTTATTGAGCTGTCTTGAGAAAGGGAGAGGAGGACCTTCAGCAGATATTTATAGTTAACCAAAGCGTGTCCAACGTCGTGGCTTAGTAACATGCCGGCGCGTAACTAAGTTTACCTAACTATTTTGTTAACGAACGAGTTAGTTACTTCAACCAATCAGATAACTAGCCTCACCCTCAACTAACGCCCTTCATCCATTACACAGCGAATTAGCCTGGAACAGGGAAGGGCAACAATCTCGTATTCATTGTGATATGATACCTAGTTACGGGTTAGGACGAAGGGTGTGGAAAATCGGAGTAGTTAATATTTCAGCATCAGCTAGTTAAGGAAAATGAGATAACCAGCTAACTAACTACATAGAAAAGAGCCATACGCCTAAGGTTTATCCATTGACTGAATGAATTGATCTTCTGGTCCAGGTGGTCACTTTCTTTTAGAGCCAGAAAATCCTGGCTTTTTCCTCCCAGCCTCTGGGTCGTCCATAAAATGAGCCCGACGCCGGGGTTCTTCTCCAAGGCTCAATCCTCTTGCGAAATCACTAGCAAGGTCTTCGCCGGCGCCAGAACGCGCGGAAGTCTGAGTTACCATTTTACCCTTCGTGACAGCAGCAAACTTATCTCTCACATTCTTCATTGACTCGCCCTTTTCCCTCTTAAGAATGTTTGTCTCCGACAACTTTTTTGCGTACCACGCGTTCTCTCCATGAGAAGATCCCACAAGGAAGAGCAGGCCCTGACGAACGGAGATTTTGGATCCCGCCATAGGTGAATGTTTGTATAGAATGGGGTTAGAGCAGTAAATTGTTTCTTTCTCGTCTTTATTCACTTCTCTCTTAAGGAAGAAGGTATGTTGGTAGTTGGTTAAAAACCCAAACTTGAGTTCAAGTTCAATCATGTAGTTTCCGATTTGGCCTATTGCTCTGCCATCAGTAACGGTATTAAAAGCGGAAGAAGACAATAAATATGAGTGATAGCCTACCTAGGGTTTGGCTCGCCAAAAATTTGGGTTCCGCTGGATCATCTATGATCTCTTCCCACACAGCCATGAAATTGTGGTTCCATGGTGTTTTTGCCTCCCCGACGGCTCGTGGTGTACCATTTGCCTCTACCATCAAGGCATAGTCAGGGACTAAGGATTTTCTGGTTCGAACACCTAAGACATCGTCACTCAGGTTTGGCGCGTCCGCTCTGCCTTTGCCTTTATTTGCGAGTATCTCCGGTTTTTCTGTGGGGTAATCAACCTCTGCTGCTGGAACGAAATCGACCCTGTTTCTCGAGGTGGCTTTCCAGTCTCCAAACACCATTTCAAGTCCTAGGATCTTGCTGACAGCGGACATAGGCTGGAGAGCGTGCTGGACGAATCGTCCGCTGATGGAAAGCTCCTCACCACAGACGTAGTGATCCCTTGCGTCTATATGAAACTCACTAACTCCGGCGTCAGGAGGGCCGTAGGCAATAATCTCCTGATGTCGGTCCCAACGAACGCTCGAAAAATGACCCAGAACCTCGTCCTCAAAGCTGTTCCATTGTTTAATTTCACCAGTGAACCAGATGTTGTGCAACGAGCTGCTCTTGACGTGGCGTTCACCTTTGCTCTCGAACCCCGTCAGAGGCTGAAGAGATACATCCTTTGCGTTCAGCAGTTTTAGCCCAGATCCATGCTGGCTTGATGGCAGTGGTGTAGAGGTCTTATGCATGGTCGAGTCTCAATAGCGATAGGGTTCCAAGATGGATACTGCTGAAATCTAAAACCGGAATGGGTAGGAAGATAGTTGTTCAATGGTTTGTAGAGTGAAGGAAAGTTGAAGGCCAGAGAGGAATGAGACGTGGTCTTTTATACTACAGCGGGTGGCAGAAATTGGTACATGTGAAAACCTAGCCACTACTAGCCCACCGCATTGCGAAAATGGGAAGAACCCAAGGAAGCATCTAGCCGCCAGGGAGATCGCATGACGTTTCTTATTACGCAAACGATATCAAAAAATTCCACTTCTTATTGGTAATAGCAGCCTGCTACTATCAATAGTTAACAGCAAGGGCCATGCATAGTTAGCGGGCTGTGAAAAGTCTTCGGCATCTTCTGAGCCAACGGCTCATATTCAACCCATGAAGTTGACAAACAACAAGAGAACTCAGTAACTAGGCGCCAGGGGTATGCATAAGTAAGAGGGGCCCAAAAATAATATCAGACGGTCTCAACCAATAATTTGATGGTCGACTCCACTGCATGAGGTTTACGGGCGGTAACAGAAACGTTTGATGCCAAGAGTCACATAAACCAACATGTTGGCAAGGCACCACCACATCACCAGTCAGCAATGCAGCTCCGTCTCGGGCTGAGCGACCGGCATTTCATGACAAGGTAGCTGCATTCTAAGGTAGTCATCAATAGGACCTCATTGATTCATTCATTCAGTCATGAAAAAGCAGTCAGGAAGAGAGAACAAGACCGCTGCCAGCTTCAAGGGTCCGAGTCACTATCACTAAGCATATTGCAGGGGTAGGTACGATAGCTGCATGTATCGTAATCTAGAGTGTCATACTCCTCATCGTCAGATGCATTTACACGGAAACGCCGATAAATCGCGTTGTTATCACAGTATTCATCGTCAAAGTCAAGATCCTCATCTGGATACTCGTTCGCAGGATTGTCCTCAGCTACATTAAAGAAATAAGCAAGAAGCTCTAAAGTGATATGAGCGAAAACTCACCATTCGAATCCTCATCCTCTGTATCCCAGTCCTTCTCGTCGTCATCTTCCGCGATAGCATCCCAGAAGTGCGAGTCACCTTGTGTGATGACCACGACGCCCACATCTTTCGGAAATTCGCATCCTTCAATCCATTTTCCGTCTTGAAAATAGGAAACACTTGGGTCGGCAACAACATCATGCACAGGTCGCCTGATAAACTCGTCGAAAACATAGCCAGAATCAGAGTCCTCATCTTGCGCAGACGTTATCTGATTCTCTGGGGTATCAGAGATATGGCGACAGTCAAGTTGACTATTAGTACCAATATCCTTATTGTTTAGATCCATGCTGTTTTTAATTGCCCCATCTGTCTTGCTGGTAGCTGATATGGAGGCTTCGCCTTGCTCATTACTTTGGTGTCCAGTACGAGGTGTTTTGGGCAATCGTGGTTTATACTTCAAAGGCCGTTTTTGCGGGGTCGCACGAGATGTAGTCGCTTTTGTGACTGAGCGAGCCTCTTCGGGCGGCTCAGCACTATTTGTCATCTCCAACGCAATGCGTGCCAATTCGTTGGCAAGATTATCAGAGTCAAGGTCCCATGTACTAGGGTCTTCAAGTACTGATTCTCCCTTCCTGGTCTCTTTGTCCAGCTGATGGGACCGGGATAATTTGGACGAATCTTCACGGTTTCCGGAAAGCATATGACGCTTGTCTATAGTGGTATTAGATATCTCAGTCTCACCAGGGCCACCTTGGACATCCGCGCGCCTCCCCTTAGCCGAGATCGATGACTTGTCAAGGGCCGTTTTGTTCGAAACTGCAATATTCTCCACAACAACAGGCCGATAGCTGGAACTTCTCCTCAATCTCTTCTTTTGAACACCTCCATGAATTCGGTGAAGTACGTCCAAAGTATCGGCTGGGTCCTCAGTATTGCTTGGTGCTTCGAGGTGGAAACGACGGACAGATGAGCCGCTTGGTTGTGCGGTGGCTGGCCTTTTGACGGCAGAAACAACTTTAGGTACGCTAGACAAGGTTGACAATGATGGAGAGTCGCTTCTAGCCGACTCGATATCGGTGCTATCATGCTCATCTCTATCTGTAGTGATGAGCTGTTTCTGCTTTGATTTAGCCTCATCGCTACGCATAGACGGCGTTGTGATAACGGGAATTCCCGAGCTGTTCACTGCAGTACTGGACGCCCTAGTAGTGTGATGGCTGACGGTTACAGCACGATTGCCCTGGGCCCGCCCCTTGGCTTGAGACTCAGGCGCCGGGCCGCCCTTAGGGCCATCTTGGCTATTTTCATTGTCAATATGCAGAATAACGCGTTGAAAAACGTAGTCTGTGAACCGCCTCTTAGGCTGGTGGATATCAGATTGGATGTCTGTATAGATAGAGAGCAGCGCAAGGCATGGTGGTAAAGCTATTAGTCCAGGGTATCTTGGCTCAGAGCGAAAGAAATAAAATCACACTGGATGGTATAATAGAGTAATGCAGTTACTCAGACGCGGAACGTGGCGATGAGAGTGACTTACACAATGTCTCTACCGGTTCATCTTCTCTTCGTCGCTTGATGCGGATGCGTTCAGGTGGGAGAGACATTGGGTCCCAGCTGAAAATAAGAGCCTCTCAAAGGAGATTTCAAGTCTCAGCCAGCTAAATCTCGATGTGAATTAGCAAACAACACGATGACCTTGCTGTTTGGTGCTGTCTGGTGAACTTGTCTTTTGTTTCTTTTTTTTCTGTCTCTCTGACGTTGAGAAAAACGTTGGCCACCTGGACGGGCAGAGCAGAAGTCACGTGGAAGCTTAACTAACCCGCCCGCCCGCTCAAACCTCGAGGTAGTTACGGTAGGTAAACATGCTTTGCGGCTACAGTGACAAGTGATTCAATAGGCTTCCTGGCCGGTTAGCCAGAATTGTTGGAACTATTACTATGTATCTATCCAATACCCACTGGATTAACTCCTGCTCACACTGTTCTCAAAAGGACCGAGGTAGTTTTGGCTATTATCAGGGGTATTACTTGTATTGGGGTATTCAATCAATTAGGGGGCATCGCAAACAGGAGAAAATGATATACGGTCAAAAGTAAAAGACAACGAGGCCAGCAAAGGACAGGAAAATAAGGGGGGTAAATGCAAAAAAAGAGAAAGAAAAAAAAAGTAAAAAAGAAAAAAATAAGGGAACAGAGATAAGAACAGTACCGGCTGCAGTGAGCAGTAACAACAAGTAAGCAATTTGAAAGTGGAAAGTAGACAGGCGATATGAATATTGAACGATAGGCTCATGGCTCATGAGCAATGTGTATTTGCACCTGTGATATCTTCCTGCCTCTTATTCCAACCGACCAGAAACGAAGCATGACCCTAAAACCGCTATCACAAGTGAAGGTACATGATTGTTGTGAAGCGCATTAAAATTTCAGTAAAGGTTGATCTTGGATGCATGTCGGGATTAAGGAGTAGAAAACCAAACAACGGCGTAGAATCCAAACAAGAACAAAGTATGGAAACAGAAAAAGGAAACGGAAGTATGGCGTATTATAATGGGATATTTGGGCCAAGTAATAATTAGGGTAAGGCGGTAGTCCAAACAGGAAATGGGATAAACAAATAAGACATGGAGTTAAATGCATAGGAAATGAGGCCCTGGGAGTGGGAAAAGATATAAGGGTAAATAGGGAAAAACGCACGCACACACAGAGAAACGAAAGAGTAAAGATAGTTTAAGTAATACAATGTGGTGTAAAAGAAGTAAGCAGGGAAGTCAGAGTTATTTGGCGCCAATCTCTTCCTCAGCCCATCCGGGAAGAGAGCCTTCATTAGTTATGGAGAGACCGCCAAAACCGCCGTGGTTAAGTCCTCCTAGCCCACCGAAGCCTGAGAAGCTTCCCTGGGTCTGATGATTCATGCCTGATCGTGATGGAAGATGTGAATGTGGACCTTGGCCAAATCGCTCCTGAGAAAACGATGGCAAGCTAACAGTTCGAGAATGCTGGGCACGCGGAACACTCAGTGAGTTTCCATTCGCCGAGCTGTGCTGCTGCTGTGCTGCATTGGAAGCGCTGGAGACGTTTAACAATCCGTTGAGAGATGATTTGTGCTGGAGGAGGGGCTCCCCTGGTGCTCCGTTATCCACCACTCCGTTGCTACCCTCAAAGTGGCTGTGGCTATGGGTATGGCCGTGGTTGCTTTGGGATTGCCCATAGTTCTGGGATTGAAGCGAAGGGTACTGCATAGAGTTGCTCAGGCGAGACTCTTGTTCGCGACTAGTTTGTTGCGAGACCTGGCTAAGGTAAAGAGTCAAGGGGTTGTTGCTTCCAGAGCTTATGAGGGAGCCAGGGCTTGCTATCGAGTGTAAGGGATGTTTGTTTTGGCCATTCTGGGATAAGGAACCAGACGATCCAGTAACGGGGGACAGAGCAGGTCGAGTTGGGCTCGATTGTTGTCCGTTCTGGTTGCTACCTGACTGAATAGCACCGTTCACAGAATTGCTAGAGCCATCCGCGCGGTTGCCATTCTGGTTATTGTTGACCTGGCGAGGAGGATTACCACAGCGGTCTTTTCCGAAGTTGATCTTGAATCGTTTATAATCTTCTGAACCCCGCATTCCTTCAATTGCTTTGATAGCGTTGGCAATATTGGTGAAATTCACGAAAGCACAACTCTTCTCTCTAAGCGTGTTGACTAATTCAATCTCGCCATATGCCGAAAAGTCCTGGCGCAAGCGTTCCTCAGTCCAGGTTTCATCGAGGTTGCCGATGTAAACATTGCGGGATGCACCCCCACTAACAGCCAAGGAAATTGCGGTTGGAAGTCCACCAGAATGTTTGCCCCATCCGATTTTAAGCCTTCTGTTGTGGATCATTAGACCTTGCATGTTGCTAAGCGCGTAGAACGAGGCGGCGGATGTAGCATCGACAAAGGTGACAAAACAGATATGCTTGTCTGGTATGTATCGAATATGATGTAGGAGTCCACCGCGGACAACATTACAAATCTCCTCTATTGTCGTCTCTGGGTGAATGTTACCCAGGTAAACGGTCCTGTTTCCAAGGTTATGCATGCCACCGGCTGACGTTGCAACTGCAGCAGCAGCTAGGGATTGCTGTGCGATCGCATTAGAAAGTATATCACGATCGTGAGAGTTCAGCGTATGGGCATATCCAGGAGCGATCCCTAGATATTGTGCAGCATTCTGTTGTTGAGTTTTCGAGATATAGGCACATCTATCCTTTCCATAGTAAACTCTCTTTGGAGGTTGCCAGTTGGGCTCCTGAGGAAGCTGGGTAACTGCCTTGATTGCGTTACTGATAGACAAGAAGTGAACAAAGCCAATCGACTTTTCTTTCACAAGTTTCACAGTATCAATAGGGCCAAATTTCCCTAATTCCTCGCGTAGTTCCTCCTCAGTGACATCCTCATGCAAGTTCCCAAGGTATACATTTCTAGATGCATGAGATTGTTGCACAGCAAGTGCTACTGATGTAGGAACTTGTGATGGCTTCCCCCATCCGATTTTTATATCATTACCTTTGATCGACAGCTTCTTCAAAATGGCATCAGAATGGAAGTGAGTAGCAGAACTACTGTCCAGAAACGAAATAAAGGCGCAGTTCTTGTCGGGGAGGAGACGAACGGACTCGATTTGGCCACTCCTAACATGGCCCAAAATTTCTTCCGAGGTGGTTTCTGGCGGTAGATTTCCTAGATACACGGTTCGGCTAGTTCCTGATAGGATACCATGTCCGGATTGAAGCTGCGGGCTTGGGGCAAATGCATTTGCAAACGCTGGAAGCCCTGATATCGGAGAATTTGGACCCGCTAACAGAGCAGAACTTCCCATGGCACCAGGAGACATCAGACTTTGGTACATCTGAGGCGACAGTGGGCCATGCTGAGCTTGTGTTGGGCTGTTGAGTTGGGGTTGGTGACTCTGTTCGACATTCTGATTGGACTGCGAGAATCCTGGGAAGTTGCCAAACTGTGGTGAGGCGAAGGCCGAAGGGGTCCCTGGCTGAAAGGGGCTACCAAGGAGGAGCTGTGATGGGAGTAAGGGAGCGAAGTTCATGTCGAACTGAGTACCGTACGGGAGCTGATCTTTGGAGTTTGAAGGAGTAGAGTTGGTGTTGATAGCAGGTATGTTGGCTCTCCGGGAGTTACGATCAGTGAAGCTTAGTGGTTGGTTGGATGTGTATGCGTTATGAGAAAAGCCCGTCGACTCAGTTCCGTTGCTGGAGACTTTAGAACCAGGCTGCATCAAACGACCGGTGTCAATCGCTTGCATGGCGAGAAGGTGTGGGGGAAGGACAGTAGCGTCCTGGTTGAGGGGTGGTAGTACCGCCGTTTTGAAGGATTTATTAAGTCGTAGCGTATATATATATATATGTATGTTTATATATATAGAGGTTAATTCCCTCGTTTCGTCGGGCTATATATACAGAATGATGGTTAACACGCCTGTATACCTGCATATAAACAAAGGTCCTGAAAGGAGGTCGACTTACCAAGGAATGGGGAAAAGCTAGCCTTGCGACTAAAAACGGTAGAAAAGGGAGACCTCAACACTTTGTCTTTTTTTTTTTTTTCCACTTAATCCCCTATAATCTGGAAAGCCAGCCTGGCATAGGAGGATAGATCGAGAGGGTTTTTCAGCTCTTCAGGGGTACGAAGAACTGTGCGGCTCGGAAACCAATAGGTGATGGTAACGGGATCAACGATGAGTGGCCTTTGGGTTCAGCAACCCAGCGCAGGGTCAGGGAGGCTAGATATAGAACTTGCTGTTTCGAGTAAGAGGATTAAACTGATGAGCGACAAATGTATAACGCAAAGAAGAGCTATAGGGAGTGGATGGAAGGGGAGGGAGGGCAAGTTTTACTATAAGGCGATATCTGATGATGATGCAACCAGAACAAGCAAGAATCCAAGCCAAAAGAAAAAAGGGAGAAAAATATAAAGTAAATAAAGGGTTGGAAAAGAGTGAATGAGAAGGGAAAATAAAAAAAGGAGGCGGGAAGAAAGGAGAAACGAGAAGAATGAAGACCTGCAGGCACAGCAAGCGAGCAGGAGGAGGCAGGAAGAAGAACAGGAAGAGGAAGAAGAGGAAGAAGAGGAAGAGAGAGAAGAAGAAGAAGAAAGGGGAGAGAGAAGAACCAACTCGCAGGGGGAAAAAAGGGAGAGAGAAAGAAGGAGAAGAAAGCAAGAAAAAAAAAGAAGTGGAATGGAGAGGGACTAGTCGTATTGCGATTACCAAAATTACAGGCAGCGACAGCGCCAGTAGCGCCGGGCCACCAGCACCCCGGACTGGTATTTGGTACCTGCCTCGATACGATAAAATACCAGGGATGATGGGCGCTTGGCTTGCCAGGCTGAGGCAGCGGAAGAGGGCAGGGCGAGGGCGAGGGAACCGGAGGAGGGCGAGGAGGGGGAGCAGGCAGGCGAGAGAGAGAGGGATAGAGACGCTGCGGCAGCTAAAGGGGGCGCATGCCATGTGGTTATTTTTGCAGGCCTTCTTCTCCTTTCTCCTGCTCCTCCTGCTGCTGTTGTACAGCATCAAAGGGGACAGACAGACCCCAGCAGCGATGGATGTACCCTAGGTGTACGATGTATGTATGTATGTATGTATGTATGTATGTATGTATGTCCTTTATGTCTGCATGTATGTGTGCAAGCCATAACCTCCATATACATCTGTGCTGTCCGTATCCACTGCCCTGGCTCTACTCAGGTTCAGGCCAGAGGTCTGCAGCGGCAGCTCTCTTGGCCTCGTACTGGCAAGCAAAGTAGATCAACATTGTCTCGCGCCGTGATGCCACAAAAAGTACTTTTTCTGGATGTTCTGGAGAAAAATTCCTCACAACATCATCCCGGCCCATTGGTGGGTAGGACCCGTGGGTCTTAATTACCACTAGAGCCTGATGGGGGAAAGTCAGGGACGTCGCGGTGCCTGGAGCGATGCGCTGGTGGGCGGAGAGATCAAACATAGCTTCAACTCAGTTTACGGAGTGTCGTCTTTCTCTTGTCCTTGAAACTGAACATTTTGGAGATGTCCCATAGGCGCCTCTCCGCGGACTGACAGACGATGAAATGGCCGAGATGGGCACAAACGCCAGGTGGGCAATACGGGGTGATTGGTGTCATTCGATGCAGGTACCCGGATTCAACTCGCACAGCCGGTTCTCGGAACGGATGAAACCATGGTAGCGAGAGCTTGATACTTTGAGCTGCGCCTGCTTGAACTTTTGTTTCATGGTTTTGTGACTGACGAAGGCAAAACCGTATGCTGTGTCCTCACTTCGTACAACTGGCTTGTCGCTACGTCTATCTCTTGCTGCTCGACTCCTGCGAGGCTCAAGGGCGTCGAGTAAATAGGGATCATCGCAGACATCTCCTACCTTGTGTGCTTCCTCTCCCAGCTCGCTCCCAACCAGCCTCAGCTTGCGTTGGACTCCTCCATGCTCCGTTCCATACAAGCGTGGCTTTGAGATGACGACAGGGAGTCCGCTCCGAAAGCAGCTGGCTGTGTGTGAGTCTCCAGCGCAAGCCGGAGAGCTCTCCGGATCCAGCTCACCAGGCTGCCATCCTTCGCTCCATCCTCATACCGCCCCGTCCCTCTTCTTTGTCTTCTGCTTCGCCGTCGTTCGCTGACATCTATCAACGGGCAGCTAAATAATAATAATACCTGATAATTATATCATTCGCGACGAAGGTCTGAATAACGTGGTGGATTATGTAATCAACTTTATTATATAATCAAGGATTCGCGACTTCGCCTTGGCCTCTTTAGACGTTTTGTCAAAAAGACACTGCGGACGAGACATGAAAGCTGGACAGAACGGCTACGATGCGCCCTGGTTACTGAGAACAAAGCATGGCAGAAACCCCAACTGAGGCGGGAGATGGCAGCGGGCCGGAGGACGACTATGTTGAGCCTCTTGCGACAGGACGAGCGCGGCGGTCGACGGCTGGCCGTCTGATGAACACGCTTCTCGACGCCGAAGCCGACGATGAACTGGCCCGTATATTTGCGGAGGAAGAAGATGACGAGGAGTTTGAGTCTGGGGATGATGAGGAAGAGGGCGGAGAAGCTGCAGCAGACGACATGGAGATCGATTCTTCCTCTTCGGATGAAGGGGACGAAGGCGGCGCAGGTGCTGGCAACGACGAGCTTGAAGGAGAAAAAGAGCTACAGAGACAGGAGAAGGCAGAGCGGGCAAAGAAACGGACAGCGCAGCAGGAAGGGTTTCGGATGCCCTCCCAGCGCAAGAAAAAGGTCAAGATAGATCCGACATTGCCCACACGAACATCGACACTTCCAGCTCCACGCCAGAGAAAGAAATCAGAGCGTATCTCATGGCTTCCTACAGCAGATGATGGGCCTACGCGTGCGTCTTCTCGTCGCCAGACTATGCAGAACAGAGTTCAAACCCACGCGCGGCTCAAACGCAGCGAGCAGAAACGAGTTCAGCTGATTGCTACGATGGAGGAGACGGCCAAGCGCAAGGAGAAGGCCAGGCCAAAACAAATGACGCAGGCGGATCGTCTCGCTGAAGCCGAAAAGACTGAGAGGTTGAATTTTGGCAGCCTGACACGGTGGGAGGAGATGGAAGAGAAGCGAAGCGAAGAGCGGCGGTTGAAGATGGAGGCACTGCACAATCGACGACTGGAAGGACCTGTTATCACATTCTGGAGTGGAATCGCTAAATGGATCAATGAGAAGCTTGCAATGGTGGGCGTCAAGCCTTTTCGACAGGCTGCTGATGCTGATAGCGGCCGCAAGAAGAAGGGTCGCCCCAGTGTTGAAACCAGCCGTGAGGGACAGCCTGCTGCGAATGCTGCAAACAGGGCGACAGAAACGTCCAATAATGCCACAGACACAGCGCCTACACAACCTACCGATGGGCAACAAGCTCCTGGGGAATCCAGCCCGTTTCTAGATGGCATACAGTTATACGCTTCCATGCAGGAGGCTTCGGCATGTCCTGACGCCGAAATTGTCCAGACCACCACATCCACTGCATCCAAACCCGTCACAACTACTACGGAAACGATTGCATTGCCAAATGAAGAGGCACACGAAAATGAAGCGACAAAATCAGACACGAGCCCCAAGGAGCGGGGGAATGAGGACGAAAATGGTCAAGGTCAAGCTCCAAACAAGCCTGCAGAAGCAACTGTACCCATATGTCCGGAACAAGAGCTGAACGTGGAGGAAAAGCCGGACAAGGTCAAACCGGCTCTTGAGCGCTCGTCCCGGACGTGCATTGTTCTAGACAATTTCGACGCCTCTACAGGTCCCGAGCGAAGCGATGTTGGCGTCCTCTACAATCCGAAAAAACCTGTCAAGCTACCCAGTACGTCATCCCTTTCACCCATATCCCAGCAACCCTCTGTGTGAGGAATTATCATTTTGGTTGTATAACAGGACTAACAAGAGACTGTAGAAACCCAAACCGAGTTTTGCCCCATCACTTCCCATCCCGCCCGCTACCGTGACCCAACAACTGGCCTCCCGTACTCAAACTCTCTAGCCTACCGTGAAATCCGCCAAGCGCTGGCATACAGGTATGCATGGAGTGGGACATTTGGGTGCTTCGTTGGGCCGATAGGAGTCGGCGCCAGAGGAGTGCCAGAGAGGTTTCTCGCGCCTAATGCCGCTCCACCACAGCAGCTGTTCGAGCATGGAGACGGCGATAGCAAGCCAACGACGGCTTCTGGAGACAAGCCCGCCGCTCAGCGATAATAATAGATCAACCAACAAAGCAGCTAGGGTGTATCGCCAAGTCACCCTTTGGTCATGTTCTTTTTGTACTTTTATTTTGTGCATCTTAAGCGTTGGCGTTGAATCTACTTGATCTTGACCATCAGCTTCATCTTCATATATCATCAGTCTCGTCTCTGCCATTGACCTTCATGCTCTTTACCTCCTTGAGCTCAACCCGAGCCAATTCTCAGCCCTTTTATTCAGATTTCCTTTTTCGACCGGATAGAGTCGGACTCGAGCGTCACGCGACCAGCATACGTTTTTCGTTCCTTTTTCTTTTTTTTTGCTTCTTCTGCTTCCTTTTCCCCTTGACGTCTCAAATAGCAGACAAACGTCAACAGGAGACCCCTGGGGAACGAGAGGGAGATGTACAAACAGGCGACAGGACAGATTTGCAGAACACGCAGGTAAAAGAACGAACGAGACCGGTGCCCACTGTGGACGCTGGAACAGCGCCTGACCTTCTCCTAGGCCGTCCCCGTCCCACCGGGTCTGGTCCCCTATGATCCGAGCCTCAGGAGGAAGGCCACGACCCCCCTTTTTCTTGTCCTTGATGCTCGATAGCAGCAGGTATGGACCGTCCAGGCTAGTTCAGACCGTTGGTTTTGGGTGACTCAGCGCTGGGCGAGGCCTTGTTTCACCGCCTCAGCTATATATCATCGTCATCAGCAGCAGCAACAGCTCTTCTTCTTCCTTAACTGGCCTGCATCTACCCAAGGCTATTCTTCGTCTTCCAAACTTAAGTACGGTGCTTCGCCGTTACTGGGAGTTCCGTTTTATATAACAACAGAAAGGGTTTCTTTTATTTTCTTTCTTTCTTTTTTTATCTTGTTTCCTCTCCTATATACCTTATTATATACTGTCCAATTTCTACTTCCACCTTTCTTTTCTACGCCGCTGAAAGAAAAAAACCTGGACAAGTTGCTTCTTGTCTTGCGACCACCAGGTCAGCCTTAGGGCCACTGCCTACATCCCAGGGCTGACGGGTCCACGATTAAACGGCGCATGCCAAAGAAGGCAAGACAAATAAGAGGGAGTCTTGCTTCAGCCCTGACCTGAAAGATCCTGCAAGCTGCTGGGGACTGGGGCGGGAGAGAGGGGCGTTGCAACGCAGATGGCCACCTGCTTTTGCCAGTACTGGTATGGATGAAGGAGTCTCTATTCTCTCCTACCCCCCTTCCCTTCTCCCTCCCTCACCCCTGTCCTCGGTAGTGCAGGGCCAGTGCTGTTTGACATGGAATCAACCTTTACTTCCTTTCTTTTCCCTCGCCGTTTGTCAGGGAGATAATGCATGAGAACGCATGACACATGGTTGAATGAAACATGGTCGAAGAATAAACTACAAATAATTACTTGCCTTACTAACTGCTTGTTTCAAAACGTCTTCTCCCTTGCAGTGCCATGTGTGAGAGAATGATATCAAATCCAGACTCTTCAATTCTATACTGTAGCCAACGGTAAGATATACCCCTTCTTCCTCTTCTTCTCTCTACCTTATCCGGACTTATCCGTATCATTTGCCTCGCATGAGCAAATGATACAGGTAGGACTTTCTTCAACCTTCTATACTTTTTTTCTTCCCTTCTCCCTGGAAGCGCATGTTTACTTATTCTGCCTCTCTTTTCTTCTTCTTGATTCATCCTCCAGGTGCCGAAATCAAGACTCTATAAAACCTCTAGCAACTCCTTCGAGGCCCATATTCTTCTCACGGGCAACATCTTCCTTCTCCTCCTCATTATTCTCCCCGGTTCTCATCCCCAAGTCATATCCATATCGCCAGAGTGCGAAGGCCGGCTCCTTTTCAGACCCTGGCTTGCTCTACTCGTTACCAAATACAACCATTTCCCTTTCCACTAGCCTGCCGCAGCTGAGCATTCTACATCAAGAGCCTGAGACAATGCCTTCCACACGCCAGTCCCGATCCAAGCCAGTTCAATTCACGGCTGCGTATCAATATCTCGCTCAGTTCCTGCAAGCGGGGAAGACACCGAGTACTTCACAGCGGTCTGGCCCAGGGTATAAAAAAGGTGTATGTCTTACCGGCGGGAAGGAAGCCGGTGATATGCCATTGTTGACTCACTCCCCGGCTACGACGGTGGTTTCGGCGGATGATAGCCCCATCACACCGTCTGAAAGGAGCCCAGATGAAAAATTCACTCTACTACAGAACGACATGATCGAATCCAAGTCTACAGCTCTTGCCCCGGTGATGGTGCATGGAGACGGAGCTTTGCTCGAAAAGACTCAGTAATGATGGCCCCTTGTTGTCGGCAGAGTATAATATTAGTGGTCATTTCTCCGTTGTGACGGGAAATTTTCCTTTCTGTATCTTGCTATGGAAAGACACGACCAGTTTTAGGGTAGCAAATATTAAGCACACCCATTTCCCGCGCCTCTTTACATTTGCGTCACATTATTTTGTCTCTGTTCGTGTCTAGTACGATGCAGCTTCACTATTTCTGTAGTCCTTGCTCTAACTACGTTCCATTCTTCATGTTCTTGTCATTTAAATTCTAAACTGACGCTATGTTTATGGTGTGCATCGGCCGGTGAAACGAGGGTATAACGAGCATTCTCGGACAGTATATCGTCCGCACATCCATGCAAGGAATCGTTCAAGACCAAGACCGTATCCTCCATGAGGAGACGTGCCATATCTGCTTATAGTCAGCACACACGCTCCCTACTCCATAGACGCACTCACGGGGATAAACTTACTTTCTCTGGTCGGTATACCAGTAGTATGGAGTAGGATCCATTCCTTCCTTCTTGTACGCACCCATGAGCTCGTCCCAGTCGTCCATCCTCATGCTACCACCGACAATCTCACCGACGCCGGGCATGAGTACATCTACGGACTCAGTGACACGTGGGTCCTCTGCGTCTTTCTTCATGTAGAACGCCTTGATCTCAGCAGGGAAGTGAGTGAGTAGGATAGGTTTATTGATGATATCGGTCATTTTTCGCTCGGCAGCTTCAGCAATGTCATCTCCGAACGAATGTGGCTTATCCTCTTCATTGTTGATGCCGTGTTCGTTCAGCCACTCGATGGCTTCAGAGTAACGCATGCGCATGAAGGGACGGGCCGGTGGCGTGAAGTTGGGGTTGAGCTGTTTGACGAATGCGGCGATCTGTGGATCAGCCAGCGAGATATCGATAACACTACATATTATCTCCTCGATATGGTCGAGGAGGTCATTAAAGGTGATGAAGTCTAGCTCAGATTCAATATGGGTATATTCCGACAGGTGACGACGGGTGAGAGACTTTTCAGCACGGAAAGACGGGCAGATGCAGAAGACATCGCCTAGTGAAGCGAGACAGGTCTCCAGGTACAGCTGGGAGGACTGAGTCAGGTAGGCCTTCTCGCCGTAGTAGTCGAATTCGAACAGGGTGCTTCCGCCTTCTACTTGGGTCTGGACCATGGCTGGGGGAGTGACCTCGAGCATCTGTTTCTGCTCAAACATCTTCCGAAACGCCCGCACCACAGCTGCGCGGACCTTGAGAACGGATGAGGACGTCTCTCCACGCAAGACAAGGTGTCTGTTGTCTAGTAGGGTCTGTGGATCAGCATCTGCGGCCACACGGGTGGTGATGGCCTCCTTGTCGCCGGCAGCACGTCCAATGACCTGGAAGAAGTCTGCGTGTAGCTCACGGTTATCTGGAGCATGCTGTTTCACAGGCACGGCACGCATCTCTCCATGGATGGCCATGGAGGTCTCCAGCGTAAGAGTCATGGCATCATATGTCTTTGTCAGGTCCCCAGTAAAGACGCACTGGAGCAATCCGTAGCCATCTGTCAGCGTCAAGAAGATCATGTCCTTCTGCACCCGTAGACGATGGACTCTGCCAACGACACGCACACGAGTCCCCGGCTGCTCGTCTCCTTCGGCTCGAGGCCTGACGACCGCGGGGTCCTTCTCATTGAGTCTGATCTTGACCGGCTTGGGCAGCGAGCTGTCTTCCTTTATGACGACCTTCTTCGCCTCCTCGAGCACCAGCCTTCGCTTATCGGCCTCCTCCTTTTCCCTGATTGCCAGCTCCTTTTCCTTGAGCGCCTTTTTCTTGCGTTGCTCGACGAGGTTGGCCGCCTTCTTGAGCGCCGACTTGGTTGCGGGCTTCCACTGCAGGCGCACGGAGGCCTCTTCTCCTTCAGCAACAGGGCCTGTCTCAGACTTCCTGGTCATGTACTGCACTGGGGCCTCAGCCGTGGCGGGGTGTAGCAGCATCGCGTAGACCAGCGTCTTGTATGCGGCGGTTTCGGTGCCCGTCGCAGAGTCATCGTCCTTGCCGACATCCTCGTCGATGAAGACGTCTTTGGTAGCGCTCGCCATGGCCGCCTCTCTTGTGTCCCGATCCTCTTCCTGCCTGCTCCTTTTTATTTTATTTTCTGGCTTCTTTTTGGCTGGATGTTATCAAAGAGATAGAAAAAAAGAGTGTGTGCAGTGGGGTAAAACTTCGAGGGGGGCATAAAATTATCATTTTCTATGGAGAATCCCAGCCAAAGCGTGAGTCACAGACGAGCCAACCAGCAATTATATTGATATTAATAGTCCATTCTGCACTTTGTGAAAGCAATAACACAAATAAAAGACCCCAACTACAACATCAGTTAAATGACATATATTATTAAGAAGTGCAAGCAGTCTCTCTGCGGAGATACAACGCTCAGCTGGCGGCAGCTCCTCCTACGTCCATCTATCTGGCTGCAACTCTTAGCAATGCTCATCTCTCGCCCAGATGTACTCCGTAGAAGCTAACTAACGGTCGATCGGAAACTCGAGCTTCTTCGAGTCTGACTTCAACGCGTTTTCTAGCTTCCATATCCCAGTCGTCGCCGTCAGCTAGTGATTCCTTCGCCTGGCGCGGTGCAACACCCTTCGTATGCGTCTGGAGTCGACACGATCGACCGTCTTCATAGATAAGCAAAGATTAGCGAGATCGGGCCTCGTATTGTCCGTCGGGTTTCACGCTCTTCTCCGGTGTGGCTGATCTGCCTCAATTGCCAGCCCAGATGCCGGGCAGTGCAGTGGTGGTTGGGCCTTCTGCCTTCTTCGCGCTGGCAGTTTCAGATCTGGGATCGGTGGAGATGGGAGCCACGCTGGAGAGCTGGCCTTGCCGGCTGGTTGGTTCTCGTATGCTGGCCTGAGTCGCTGGTCGCTCGTCGGGCCCAGCCAGCTAAGGTCCTCCGGCGTTACGGAGTCGGTGGCAAGACGGATGAACATGAACATGAACTGCTGGATGTCGCATCTCGACAATTCGCCCTCGGCAATTCTCTTTTTCGCCTTTTTTCCTGCTTCTATGTATGCTTCCGCTTCTTCAGCCTTCAGCTTCTGCTTTCGTTGGTTGTGAAGAAAAGCAAATAAAAAAAAAAAATAAAAAATAAAAAAGATGGCGATATTACGTAATATCACTGGCACTGGATTCTCGTTTGGGTAATTTTTGACTGCAAGGCAAGAAAGCGCCAGCGAAGGTCGGTTTTTGCGCGCTGCGTCGGCTGAGGAAGCCCCTGAAGAGCCGTTGCAGGCAGCGGCTCAGAAGCCAATTACTCTGCAGCATTATACACCAGCACCGGGTTTGATTGGGTTTAAAAAGGATTCCATTGAAAAGGAGTTTGTATGTACACCCTGACTCCTGAACGCCGTAACACACATCATTGCTCTGCATCTGTTGCCGCAGCCTCTGTTGCCGCAGCCCCTGTTGCCGCAGTTCCTGTTGCCGTTTCTGCGGGGGGCATGCCAACGCTGGACTCTTCTACGGCCCCGTCTCGGGATCCTGTAGTTACCGGACCCATCTCGCTCTTCTGGGTGCGGAGGTACCCGAGGTCAAAGTCAAAGTCGCAGTTCATGGTAATGGTAGTAGCCTCGCTGACCTCCTTTACTTTTCTGGGCTTTGGCTTGCCACGGTTTGAACGGCGGAAGCCGTAGCGCCGTGCTATCGTGCTTGCGAAAGCGTATGATGCCCGCTCACGCTGGTTGCCAAAGATAGATGGGAAGTAGCGCGCAAAGAACGGCCGTAATGATGCGAGTGAAGCCCCAATCTGTTGCTGGTTGTTAGTTTCGCGGTCTTGTCTACACAATGTGAAAGGGTGTTTACATACCACGCCAACGTAGAGTTCAACGGTACCGGAGATCCAGAGGTAGTAGGCTTCCCACGTCTTGTCGTGGGCGATATTCAGTCGATAGGTGTAGTATGCACGCACACCACCAGCAATACAGACTCCGAAACCTGCACCAAAGAGGAGGATAAGAATGATCCGCTGCCGCGTGGGCAAGCTGAGAGACATGACGCTGGGAATCGGCAAGATAATAACAATGATGTCGGTTGCGGTGTTGATTGCACCGCTAGCTAGTAAATGGGCACTCTCGTTGACGCAGTTCTGGGGCAGAATAGACAGCGTCCAATAGAGAGATACGGGTCTAGAGTGGGTTATCATGTTAGCAGACCTGGACAAGGCAGGGACCCTTTAGGGTAAAAGGGATACGGAGACATGCCTGCAAGTAAACACGACTACCAAAATGAAGATGATAAGTTCGACAGCAACGATCCAGATGTTGATAACCACAGTCCACTGCAACGCCGGACTTCCGCTGCCTTTCATGATCTTCCGGGTAAAAAACAGAAGCGAGAGTTTGGTAAGCGTACAGCCGGTAGCAAAAAGACATTCCAATAGCATCGTCAGTCGAAGGCCTAGAATAAGCTGCCAGATAGGAACGTCGTAAATATGGCGATTCCAGCCCAAGGTGATGGCTGCAGTGGTGGTGATGATCCCACAGCCGAGAGTGGGAAGAGCAGCGGCAATGATGAATATATCATCCCATCCAAAACTTCTCAATATCCGGATGCGTGTGAATATACGGATGCCGATGATGGCCAGCATCAGGGGCATGAAAATTGCTGTCATGATTATGATGGCAGGGCCATGAACCTCTGGTGGATTGTCATAATTGGGCTTAGGCCAGGAGGCAATAACCGACACTGGAGGGAGCTGCATGATACAAGCATTAGGATGTGAATAAAAGGGTAAAAAAAAATGAATGTCGGTCCCTGTACTGAGTACACAGAGGGTTTAAAAAAAAGGATTAAAGATATATATAAGAAGAGAGGATAGTAGCTTGATTGCCGGCGGGAGAGCTACTATGGATATAAGTGCCCCAGGAAGGGGGCCATCAGAACCTTAACACGAAAAAGTTCACAACTACAACACGAGTAGATCTGCAGCGCGAACTGACGGGTGACACACCTCTTGGTTTAGCTAGCCTGCAAAAGCGGCTCTTAACTGTAAGGAAACATCGAGTCAAAGCGCAGGAGAAGGAGGTATATGCAGGAGTAGCGTCAGAGGAGGCGTCAGGGCAAGAGTGTAGCCTCTCAGGGCGATCAACCCTGGTCTCAGGCGGTCAGATGTGGATGATACACAATTTCTCTTTTCCTCCATACAAACACCACTGTCTGCAGGGAGAGACGTTCAACCTGGCCATGGCGTCCGGAAGAATGATGCTTTGGCGGCCGTTAGATATTAACGTGGACAGCCACAACACGGCATCATTCAGGTGGCGATCCCCTTTCAATAGATCAGAGGCCCAGAGGAACTTTCCAAGCAAGATTTTCAGGAGCATGTCCAGTGAAAAAGAGTATTTTTGAATTCTCCAGTTCCTTGGTGGGGGATCAGTTGCGAGGAAAGGCAATCCTACACGGTTTGTGGGATAGGCCGGCTGGCCTGGCGGTCGTGTTGGGTGTTTTGGAACCAACTAGTATGTTGTGTTTCTTTTTTTCCTTGCCCAATTTTTTCTTCTTCTCCTCTCGTCTCTCCTCTAGCAGGGTTGGCATCGTTTTTATTTATTATATTGTTGGCCGAGAGCTCGCAGTTCGCCATTATTTGCCTGTCAAGAGTTATCGTCCTTGGCCGTGTGCACTCTCTGAGTGGACGGAGCCAGGGAGTATCCGTACCAGCGTCGTGATTGCCTGCTGCATCACACAGTGGTTTGCAGTAGCTCCAACTTCGATATGGTCTCCATCGTGATGGAACCGTCTCTTGCATACATACGGAGCCCAGAAGTAGATCTCCAATGGCATCATAGGGACAAATTTGAGCTTGCCGGCTCCTCCCACCAGGCGATTGCCGGCGGCGGAAGAGACGGGGCGTCCTGTCTGTTGTCTAGGGCAACATAGGACAGTCTGAGAGTCGCTCAAGTCCTTGATCTGCCTCTGCCCTGGCGTCTAAGCGGAGAAAAGATAGCAGTCTAGGTAGACCACAATGCACCTGCATAGTCCGTACTCCGTAGAATGTTCTTCAGTCTCTTCTAGCCAGGAGAAGTCGTTGATGGCTTGTGTTTGGTTGATCGATCGATCGATCATTTCGTTCCCGGAAGCTGGGAGATCCGCTACATATAAATATATATAATGCGGGCATGCTGATTTGCTTGTGACAGCATGCCGGCCGGGATCTCCTCTAATCCTGGACCGTAGCTCATCTAATATAAATTATTCCCGACGGCACTTTTGGATCTCCCTCGTTATTATTATTATTATGGCTATTACGGGCAAGCATCTAAGTACTTAATCTCAATCGAGTGGATGCCACCGGTATTATCGAAGACTCCGTGCTCTGCCAGCCGTTGGCCTTTGATAGAGCCGGCTAATACTCGCAGCGAACAGCGCCAGGAAACATCCAAATTGCGCAGCCGGCCATCGTCTAGTATTGCAACGGCCTTTGAAGCCTGTACCATCTCGACCAGCCTCGCTGGTACGTCTCCGTCTCAGCAACTAAACTAGTTCCTTAGTTAGCTGAAGCTATCGTCCGATCTTTAGGTGTCTTGTGCCCTTGATTATATATGCGTAGACTACCTGGAAGTCCCTCCACACTCAACCTGTAGACCGACCGTAGCAAAGGGCCGTCGCCGTCGCCGCCATCGCCGTCGTCTTCACCGTCTACAGCCTCCTGTCTCCCCTTCTCTGCTGTCTCGCCTGCTGTCTCGTCGCTGTCTCGTCTGCCGTCTGTTGTGTGCGCAGCCCAAAAAAGCCAAGCATCGCCAAAGGGGGAAAAAATAACAACGACCAACGCCAAAAAGCGCAAAAAGTTCCTCGACCTCAACTTCTTCTTCAACGTCCGACATTCACCCTCGCCCTCGCGACTCTCCGGCCGTTCTTCCTCCGAGCTTCCTTTTCTTCTTCTTCTTCTTCTTCCTCTTCTTTCCATCGCTCCTTTTTGCCTTTACTTATTTATTTATTATCTGGATCCCATCTGCCCTAATTTTCCTGCTTCGTCGCCGCTTGCTTGATCGCCCTCGCGGTGTCAGCCAGCCTTCCCGCCGTCACCACCAGCAGCGGAACACGCCCTCGCCATAATCCTCCAGCCTCTCGACAAAGCAGTCTTTCGATCCCGGTGAACACCTTCCAACCAACCTAAAAGGCCCTTTAATGTGAAAAGCACGGTGCGCTGTTCTCGTTCTCTCGTTCCTTTACGGTCCGGCAACAAAGGAATTGTCCAAGGGGGGATACAACGCCCGTCAGCGAGTCTCGAAGACCTGGTCCACCTCCCCGTCCGAATCGCCTGCTCCCTGTGTGTCGTGAATCTGTTTCAGCTTGCCCTCTTGACCATCTGTCGACCCGGACTGGAGTCGGGACGCTCACTCGCGGCTTTCCCTCGCCCTTCGATCTCAACGCTGAGTTGGCTGCCGGCTTGCCTCCAGGGCCATCTTATCACTGCTTATCTCCCGCCCTGACGTCCTCGACACCCGGTCCTCGCCTCTATATCGCACCTTGCTTCTCGTCAGGACGCTTTTTTTTTGCCTCGCCCCTCTATCAACTTTTAATTGAGCGCATCCGGTCGGTCGTGCTGGTGGATAGCAACAAGAACGAACTGACAACACCTCTCGACGCAGAGGCACCATCCATATATTTGCCACGTTCTTTTCTGCCTTTAGCCCGTCACGGATTTTTTTCATTAACACCAACAACAGGAAACAATATAAAACACAGGGACGAACTCGGCATTATCCTACCCCTTCTTAGACAGAAGGTATAGAGCGTTTCGGATATTTGATCCTGCGTCTATATTGGATTTCGGTTTGTTTTATCCAAATCTAACAACGCTCGAACTATTATAATCTATAATGGCCCATTCATCAAGGCCCGAAGGGCATCTCAACCTTAACTACCTTCCCTCCTCGCAACCACGATCTGGCACATCTACCGGCAGCTCGTCTCCCAGCGAGCTTCCGCAAACCGGACAGACAAAGTCGCCCTTTGGAGACTCAAATGGCCTAGCCGGCTCGTCACAGTCGATTGGAGGCTCGAGAATGGGGGCAGGTTCCCCTTCTCATGATCTTGGCAATCGTCTCTATCCCAAACGGTTAGCTGAAACCCTCCCTCCCCTTAAAAAAAACATATCCATCATCATCGTCTTTCCATCTCGATTAACTAACATTTGGATGCTGATATATTGGTAGAGCCCGAGAAATACAGGCGCAAGAAGGTGTGGCCTCACACCTCTGGGGAGGACCACCCACCAGCGGCAATTCCACACCTCTGCGTGAGAATATTCCCGAGTCACCGAACCAAGACGAATTCCCAGGTCTAGTGCCATCACCTGAAACCATAGCGTACAATCCCGGTCGACGAACTCGTGCGGGAACCGTACCCTCACGCTTCTCTCCCGTCGGACCGCTCAATGGACTCAACGTCCAATCTTCCGTCATCTCAAAGACTTCTAGACCTACCCCATCTACCAGCCCATTCCGCCCGCAAAATACAACTGGAGTAGACTCATCCATGGTGTCTGCTCCAGGAACGGAGTCGAATACAGTTTTGCTGTCTCGCCTCCGAGCTGGCTCGATGCCACAGCGGCCCAATCTTCTGAACAGCTCAAGTCCCTTCGGCCCTTCTGTCTTTTCGACAAACTGGTCATCCGGGCGCGAGCGTGCCACCACGCTGGCCAGCATAAGATCTTCCGAAGGCCCCTCTTCGCCCACCCAGTCTTCCTTCTCGAAGGATGGTCTTGCTGACGCCGACGTGAGAACCCTGGATTATTTGGGGTTGGCAGAAACACCCCAGCAGTCTCGTGCTAGCCTTGCAGGGCCATCGGTTGCCATGCTTATGCAGCAGCAGCAACAGCAGCAACAACAGCCGACGTCTTCCCTGCCGCCTCTTCTCGCAGAATTGGCCATGCTCAATCGTGGTTCAAACCGATTCCGCTCCTACTCTGTTAATGCAAAGGAGAAATACGCCGAGGAAGACGAGGAATTCGGCACACATTACTCTACCATCCCCTCAGGAACTCTAACTCCATCCGCCGCCGCTACCGCCGCTCAACTCGCTGCCACCCAGGCCCAAATCCATCAACACAACCTTGCTGTCCAGGCCTTTGCAAACCACGCATCCTCCAGCCGACCTCGAGCTCGTACTGCTGGTGTTTTAGACGCTCCTCTCCAACGCTCCTCCATTCGCAACTACCTTGCAAGCCCCTCAAGGCTTGAGAACAGTATAAATGCTGCGGACATTCGCATTACGGAGGGCTCTGAGTATGATGGTTTACCTGAAGCCGTTCAGAGAATGCAACTAGGAGGCATGGGAGGACTAAGAGCGCAAGAACCTGTGGATGAGAACAATTTGGAGGGCCCTACCCGAGCATTATGGATTGGCAGCATTCCTGTCTCCACAACCGTCACGTCCTTGGATGCTATCTTCAATGTATATGGTAAGATCGAATCAACTCGTGTTTTGACTCACAAGAACTGTGGATTCGTCAACTTTGAGCGTGTCGAAAGTGCCACTCAAGCCAAATCGCTTCTGAATGGAAAGGAAATATTCCCGGGAGCCGGCCCCGTCCGCATCGGGTATGCCAAAGTCCCAGCTACTCCTGTTTCCGAGACGCCAGGACAGTCTGGCAGCCAAAACTCCCCAACGCCAGATGCTGGTACCGGAGCTGCTGGGTCAGTGGCACGGGATGGAACTCGCTCTACCACACAAGACGGCGAAGCTGCTATCTCCTCGTCCATCCCAGACCTGCAAGAAATACAGCCTGAAATGAGCAATATTGTTATTGAATTCGGTTCCTCCGAATCTGAATGCCAAAATATCACTAAGAGTATTCAGCGAGCAATTAACTTCACGGCATTTGAAGATGAAATCCGTCCAGTTCCTGAACCCAGCCAATCCCGAGTTTTTGATGCTCCTCGTCTGCGCGAAATAAGGAAAAAGATAGACAACGGCGCCTGCAGTGCTCAAGAAATTGAAGACACTGCCAATGAAATGCTTCCTGAAATTGCCGAGCTAGCCTCTGACTATCTAGGCAACACCGTGGTACAGAAACTTTTCGAGTTCTGCTCTGAGCCAGCCAAAGAGCAGATGTTGATACCGATTGCTCCTCATCTTGCAGAAATTGGTGTACACAAGAATGGTACATGGGCCGCACAGAAGATCATTGACGTCTCCAAAGTAGACTCCCAGAAGCAGATGATCGTGGACAGCCTCAGGCCATACACTGTCCCACTGTTTCTCGACCAATACGGAAACTATGTTTTGCAGTGCTGCTTGCGCTTTGGTCCTCCATTTAATGATTTCATCTTCGAGACCATGCTTAGCCGCATGTGGGAAATCTCACAGGGACGGTTCGGTGCTAGGGCCATGAGGGCTTGCTTGGAGAGTCATCACGCTACCAAGGATCAACAACGAATGCTTGCGTCTGCGATCGCGCTACACAGTGTTCAACTAGCAACGAATGCTAATGGTGCTTTACTTCTGACATGGTTCCTCGATACCTGCACGTTCCCCAACCGCCGTACTGTGCTTGCCCCACGCCTGGTTCCTCACCTTGTGGCTCTTTGTACACACAAAGTTGCCTACTTGACAGTATTAAAGATTGTCAATCAGAGAAATGAGCCAGAGGCTAGGGAGATCATCTTGAAGGCTCTGTTTTACAGCCCTGGGGATGAGACATTGGAAAGCATTCTCAAGGACCAGTCCTCGGGTGCAACATTGATCTTCAAAGTCCTCACCACTCCCTTCTTTGAAGAATCTATGCGTGCAGAGGTAGTCAAGACAGTCGCCAAGGTGCTTACTAAACTGAAGACTACCCCTAGCCAGGGATATAAGCGGCTTATGGATGAGGTCGGTTTGTCTTCACGTACTGCAACTTCTCGTGAATCCCACGGTCGTGACCACGGCACTAGCAATGATAGAGAGAAACATCAGCGCCAGTCTGGCCAGCAACGCCAGGAAGGAAACAACTTCCCAGCCCAACAAAACCAGGCTGACCGCCAGTATGGCACCCAGATGGGTGCACATAACATGAACATGCAGCAACCTCTTAGCTCTCCTCCAAACATGGCACGGTCTATCTCTTCTGAACAAGCTATGCCGCAATATGACCCCTATTCATTCGGCTCCATGAATAGCCTTGCTGGCCTGCCAATGACAAACCCCGCCATTTCCCAAGAAATGCCACCTCTAAATCCACAACAGTACCAATACCAAGCCTTCCTTGCTGCTCAATCACGCGGCATGCCGACGGCTGGATTCTTCCCGCCCGGCCCCCCTGGAAATGGTATGGGAATGGGAATGAACGGTTTCCCAGCAACCACTGGTTCAACATTAGATAACTTCCGTTCTGTGCAACCGGCCATGGCAGGTCCCAGCGGTGCTCCACTGCCAATGGGCGGAAACTCGATCCTTCAACCAACTGCATACGGAAATCAGCAGTTTAGCCCTGTCATGGGTGCTGGACAACTGTACAATTACCCTCAACAATTTTATCAACCAACCCCAGGAGCACAGGGTGCTCCACCTTCCGGACGACGTGGTCGTGTAAGTTTCTCTAGCCTCTATTGGTCTATATTCTCCCCTACCTCATATGATAATTTGATCTAATATTTCCACATAGTATTCCTGATTGATTTATGACCATTGCGAGCACGTTCTTTGAAGCCATTTATCGATGATGCAGCCATATATGTAAAATTTGGGAATTGTTTATTGACTATCGTTCTGACTTTTTGATATGCATTATTCACCACTCATACTCATGCGATCCAGGAATAATGCTGAATGCTATATCTGAATTATAACATCTCGAGCTGGATGGAAACTGTTATGGCATGGTACTTTTCCGTTGCAGGGGATGAAGAAGCTGGTCCTGCTTCTTCACCCTTACTATGCATTCGCCGTCTTTTACCTATCTCATCTTAGCGCTGGTTCGCAAGAGTGATATAGCTAGGAATGCAAGATGTAGGTACTTGCCAGGTATAACACAGAGCAGATGGAAGTGAAATGAGCAATGGAATCTTCCTCATTCTACCTATTATCCTCTCAACTCTCCGCGTTTTCCCTTATCGTCCTTTTTTCTCGCCCCCTTTTTGGCCTGTTTGTATTTCCATCTCCATCTTCTGGCTTCAAGTTACAAAAATGCCCTTGTTTTATTTCAGTTTGTACATTTTCTTGTTTTTGATCAATCATATGCATGCCAGAAAAAATTTTTTTACTCCATGTCTCTCTCATTCCTTGCGTCCCTTTTCCTCTTTTATTTTTATTTTTTTGCTTGTGTGATTTCATGTTTTATTGTCTGGCTAAGATCGAGTCCAGGCTTCATGTGCTTAGGTACTCGCTTGTCAAGGCGGAGAAGAGAGTGAATCGTATGTACAAGAAAATATGTCTTTAAGCCAGGCGAATGTATGTTTTATTTTGGTTCATCTGTTTCTACTCGAAAATCACTAGTTATTTGCTCTTAGTTCACTCAGCCTGTAAAATATACCAGTTAGTTGAGGAGTTGAGGCAGATAGCAATTCATGCATAAAGACAATATCTTCAGCTCATACCACCCAAGCTGGAGCCAAACGTGTCTACTCTGCTTTAGTTTTCCCTACTTGCAGGCCGAGCGTGATTTGGCCCGTGTTATCTTTTTTGATGATTGGGCTAACAACTGTGCTCGAACATATAATTGCTATAAGGCACCCCTTCCATAAGCTTGGGAAGTGATGCTTTGTGAGCAGTGCCTAAAGTCAAAATCAAACGTGTATAAATAAGACCGAAGAGCCAACTACTCTGTAATTAGTAATAATTTGGAGATCTTTACCGGAGTGCGTGCGGTATGTGGTGGTTGGCTTGTAATTCTTGTCAGTAATAGACTGATCGCTAGGGTCCTTTAGTTAACTAGTTATGTGACCGCGATTCTTCTCAACGTCTTACCTTGGTGGATGATTTATGGACATAGCTTTCTGCAGCAAGTCACTCCCCGGGGTCCATGCTCCCATGGCGCATAAAAGAATTCCCTTGCATCTTCGAAATACAATCGTAGTCAGTCAAGGTTAAAGTTGGTCGAGGCGCTTAAAAATTAAGAGTTCTCTTGGCATGATCCGCCGGGTTGGTGCAAGTGGGTCGGCCAAATAGTTCAGAAACTACACTTGCTTTTTATATGTGGTCAGACATTTTCTAAGTTGCTTCAGCCTCCACCGTTCCGTAAATATCATTTTATATTATAGAAGGTAAGGGTTTAGCTAGTTGCATTCCCGTGTCACGCCCTGCGACAAATCTGAATAGTTATAGCACATGACGAGTTACATCCCGTCTCTGTACATCCAACGGTCTGCATGTCGACTAGATGGCCAACAAAGCCACTCCACCCCCTCTATCGCCCTAATTTGATATTGCTACAAGTAAAGGACAACTTGATATCGCGGCTAGCTTACCACCATTGAAGAGGCCTTTTATTTTCGCTGAATTACTCCGTAGCCCAATATGTATAGTATCTTGAATAACCCCATAAAGATGGAACGAAAGTCTGTAAATAACACCAGTCCGACATTCCTGTCATAGCATATCTTTTTCATACATTCATAGCATCCCGTCAGGAATTGCCTTAGTGGGTTGGACAGGTGTGATTCAAACCTCACAGGTATATGAGTCAGTAGCGTAACAAGCCCTGCGTAACTTGGAAGGCCAGCCTCATAGGATAGACGGGTTAACTTTCCCGTGGGCACCTACGCCACTGGCAAGATAATAAGCCAAGAATGAAGAACCTAGATAGCCACGAGTTTTAAGAGCAAGATCGGCGTTAAAATGGTAGACGTAGACTAGTGGATACAGACTACTACGCCCTTGATCTCTATGGATGGATCCCATAATTGATGGGCCATCTCACCTCTTTTATAACCACCCTGATGGAAATACACCAGAAAATTACTTATATAGTGAGCTTTGATGCTATCCTACGTGCCGGTCAGCCACTGTCCCCCCCAAAAGCCGGCGGGGCACGCCGGTAGATTTGCCCCAAGCCGAGAGCAATGCTGGGAAATTCTGTCTGAATGAATTCCCAAAGACACGAATATAGTATCATCGCTAGAGTGGATAGTTGAGTATATTATTTCAAGCAATTCTCATATTTTCAACTGGAGGTAGTAGGAACATTCATGGAAACATAATATCAACATACAGGGCCACGTATGAAACAGGAACTGCCTATTATCCTCAAGCCAACTGCAGGACCATTCGATCCTATACTTGGCAGTCAAACACCCTAGATAGCAGCCATAAAAGTGGAGTGTATTTGGTAGAGTTTGCACATAGAACCTGAGATTCTCTTGTTTATACGGAGTACATACGTCTTATCCCTAACTTGGGACAGCAGTCGAGAATGAAGGCACTGCCATATTCGCGCTTGCTTGCCTCAAAATCCAACTAGAGACGTAAGAGTCACCGCCTTACGAGCAATTATTAATCTTATAGAACGCCCAATGGAACTCAACTGATGCTTTCAAAAGAGCAGGAGAACGAACGTCAATGGTAAAAGCAGTTGTGTCTGGGCTAACTACTTACGGAGTAGTTACTAAGTTAACTAACTTAACTAGGTTAGCTAGTTAACTACGCCAAGGCCAAGATTAACTAGTTACTTCCATCGTTATTTTGACGCTCTCCAAACTGATATCTCTTTCAGCAACAGAAATGTTCACCCAATGCCATGAATTCCGGCCCTGAAAGGTTGAAGACCGGAATATCACCTCCCTTGTCTTCGATAATATTCCAAGATACGTCACAGAATCTATTTATAATAGATATACCGGCATCAATCAGCTTGACCCAGCAATTACCAGGCAATATCAAAAGTTTTCCATGGTCCAGGATACCACTAATATACTCTTCAGAGGCCATCGGTAGCCCGTACAGTGGACCATCCCCCGAACCAAAGACAGCTTTGCGGAGAGAGAAGGTCCTCAAATACGTCTCTCCTGAAGAACGTGAATATCATGCATTGATATGTGCATTTGTTGAAGATGAGATAGGGAAGCTCCGGGAGAATTTCCAGGGCCAATGGTGTTATATCAGACATTTATTACCGCCTGATAACGAGGCAGGCTTCCCTTTACTTTCAAAGATATACCTGGGTTCAGACGAGCCAGAGTTGGAGTTTAATCAAGGACAAAACCACCAAGATCTCACCTCAAAATCTCCACCAGTTATTCTTTCACCCGAATTAAACGCCTTCTCATCTGGCAGAGACATTTACAATGCACTCATAAAGAACCCTGGTTCATATCAAACCACAATAAAGCTTTCTAGGATTCTCGACTCGACCAGAGTTGACGAAGACTCTGATCTGGGGAACCCAATTCTCTTTCGAATCCCACCCAAATCAACCTTTATACTGACGCATATTCAATCAAGCCTACCATGTTTAACCAACCCTCTTTCTATGATTCCCCCTAGCCAAAAATTTGACTTCATCCTTGCGGATCCACCATGGCCCAACCGGTCAGCTAAACGCTCAAAACAGTATATTACTTTGTCGTTTGATGATCTAGAGCTTCTGATGGGAAATATTACACGAAAATTTCTTACATCTTCTGGTATAATAGCCATTTGGGTTACAAATTCCGGAAAGGCACGGCGAGCAGTCGAAAGTGCTTTTCAGGCGGTTGGCGTGAATAAAGTTGAGGAGTGGATATGGGTTAAAACGACAGTTACTGGAGAGATGGTGACCGCACTTGATGGGGTATGGAGAAAGCCATATGAAGTCCTGATAGTAGGGAGAGCAGGCTGGCAAGAGCATGGTATCAGGAGGAGGATTATTGCAGGGGTACCGGATATACATTCCCGAAAACCAGTGATAAGGGAGTTAGTTGAGAAGGCCTTTTTTGATAACGAAGAATACACCGCCTTGGAAGTGTTTGCGCGCTATTTAACCGCGGGTTGGTGGGCTGTAGGGGATGAGGTAATGAGATTCAACTGGGATGGCTGGTGGGCAGACTAGGGATGGCTGGGCGAAAAATTGTATACAAGCCGCAATATCGCACCATCGGCCTGGAGTACAGTATACATCAATCTCATCAATCAAACACTGGCCCTAGACTAACAAGGCTGAACCTCAAATCACCCTGTCCCGCATCTTCCTCTGTCTTCAAGAATCTTCTTACCCCCTTGTCCAACGCCTTCTCGCTCAACATGTCCTCATCTTCAGCCAACTCTCCTCGGCACAGGGGGCCTTTCCTCCTCCCATCAAGTTCATACAGCCGGCCATCGTCACCTTTGACGAAACACACGAAATGTAAGTCAACCTTCTCTTCTGCACTAGGAGCACTCGTATCTCCTTTCTTTGCAGCATCTGCATGTGCGCTCTCTAGGGCGGAGCTAGAATACAGCAAGTCTGCTCTCTCTTGGGGTGCTAATGGGACAGCCTCTAGTAACAGCCGGTCCAGGTCAGAGCCCTTGCCAATTTCCTTTTTCGCGGCACCGTTAGATACAGCATGAAGTAGGCCGATGAGACCACATGCATTCCGGATTGTCTGCTTGAACCATATTACAGGTTCCTGCGGCCCAGAGGCAGCGTACGGTTCAATATTAGCATCTTCGGCAACCCGGGTCTTTTCATACGTGTCAGAAACGGGGAAGACGAGAAGGAGCGCTTGTGAGGGGCGAGGAATGAAGGCTAGAAGCTCTGGATCCGAGATGCTGTAGACATCCGCAAAGCCGAGGGTACGTGGGAGGCCGAGCTGGTGGATTAGATGCGACATGACTTCCGGATTGTTTTCTGTAACCGTGGTACCTATGAGTGCATGTACATGTTGGAGGAGGGGTGCACTAACCGAGGGGCACGAAGGCCTTCGCATTGTCCGGACAGTCAGGATTATTATCAGCCATCTGGAGTTTACAACACTAATTTAATGGTGTCTGAGTATATGAAGAAGTTCTTGCTCTCGGTATTTACAGACTGTGCTGCAGTGCTTGTATTCAATCGATTGCTGCCTTGAGAAAAGTAAAAAAGTGGTTGGAGAGAAATGCGTCATAATGCAAACAGTGCAAATTATAAGCTTTACTTTGATATGACTAAATAATGACTAATCAAAACGGATTTAAAGTTATAGCTAAATAAAGCTAAGCCTAATTAGGCGAGGGCACCTCCAACGTCACCTGCATCAACTCGCGGTGTTTACGAATAAACCAGTGATCACCGTCGACTTCTCTGCCTGTTCTTTCCAAGCCTTGACCTGATCTGGGTATACGAAATCATCATGACGGGCGGCAAACGCAGTGATAGGGACACTTAGTGGTTCCTCGCTTATATATTGATAGCTGCTGAACCAAGGCGCGTCCCGCCTGAAATTCGGCAGAATAGATCAAACAAAAGCTGCGTCGTCCACTGAACGCAAAGTAGAGATAGCATGATCTACCTCCACACTCTCCGTGAATGAATTCTGCATGATTGGCTGCTTTTGCCAAGAGCGGAGAAGATGAGGAGCGACGGTGGCAGTTACCACTAGCCGTGGCAGTGGATGAACTCCACGGCGCCTCGGTTCTCGAATTGTCTCAAAGGCAACTATACCACCGAATGAATGGCCCCAGATGATGACCGGGGCTCCAATTACAGGCTCCATCTCTTCAAGAATCCCGAATACAACTTCAGAGACACTCGATGGGATAGGTTCGTCGATTCTGTTGTCTCTGCCAGGAATTTGAACCGCGATGCCATCTAGCCCCTGTGGTGGCTTTATCAAGTATGGAGCAAAGAAAGACGCATCTGTTGCTATTAGATGGATGCATAGAAGGGATGGTTGGCCTTTAGGGACGACAACGTTGTTGCCTCGTATGAACCAAGCGGAAATGCCAGCCAGGCCACCAAAATGGAGGGGTTCTTGAACTTCCTCTTGACTCTGTTCTTGAAACGAGATTTTTGGCCTAAATCGGGATCTGAATTTGCAACTCATTCGGGTTCCTGAGTTATACTCTCAACAGTTGGGCTGCTGAAAAGCTTCATGACAGGGTACGATATCTTGATATCACGCTGAATCATCCCTCGAACTTGTGCAAGGATCAATGAATCTGTAACATATAGATCTAGCTTTGTGGTCCGAGAGATTTTTACTCTCTTCTACCCCAAGAATTTTTGCGAGACCAGCATGTAGGATATCGTCAATCTCCTCTGCGTTCTTTGGTCCACCTCCAGGTCCTAAGCTACCGAGTCTACACATCTTTGCACTCTGCCCGGGAAGACTGATAAATGTTCCATCTAAGACCATGTGGGGGCTTCGGCTACAAAAATACGCTAATCTATACCTGTTACCACTCATTGCGTGGTATTGTCAATAATTGCTTTCTCCAACGTTTTTAGCACTTCAGGAAGACTCACCGGGAGTAGTCCTCTCATTATGTTGAACTCAACAAGTTCTTCGGCATCGTGTCCAGAGTTCTTGAAAATACCAGCAAAGCTGCCCATCACTCCGTGGTTGAGAGCCAATGCGGTCGGCCCGACATGCCAACGGTGACGTGCCAAGTTATCAAAAAGCTGATTGGCAGCTGAGTAGGCTAATTGTCTAGGGATACCAACTAAACTAGCAATAGATCATATATGGACAAAGAATTCCAGCTTCATGCTTTTTGTGAGAAGATGCCACGCGCCTTTTTCTTTGGGATCAAAGATTCTTCTGAAGTTATCAGTTGTGGTGTGCGAGTTCAACCCAAACTTCAACTCCTCGTCTTCGTAAATACTCGATTGTTGCTCTGCTGTCTGCTGATTTAGGCCCTGATTGACTGACAAGCTCGATATTTTATACTCATCTGTCAGCTAAAAACACTGCCAGTTGCAAGCCCAGTCCGCCAGCACCTCCTGTGATAAGGTAGCTTTGGTCACTGCGCAGCTAAAGCCCGGCGTATGGAACGACAGGAACCTCTACTCGTTCCGGCATTTCAATCACAGCCCTCCCAAGCACCTCAGATCTTGATTACGATAGATATCGATTTTTACCATCTCTACAGGCCGCGTACTTGGTGCCAGGCATTCGGCAGGTGCGGCTAGGGGCTCATCAGCTAGCGAGTTTAACACCGCATCAACTCCATGTCCATTTGTGGCCTTTTTGACTGCATCACGGAATGACACTGAATGGGAATCAAATACCCCCCGAACGCCTAGCATGTTTGCAACAGCTTTATGCCGTTCGGGTCTCCCAGCAGCTGCATATACATGTGCTCCAAGTTCGTGTGCAATCTGAATCGCCGCCATCCGTACACCACCGGCAGCGGCGTGAACCAGCACACTTTCTCCTGCTGTGAGTTTGGCCAAATATACAAGTGCGGAATATGCAGCTGACATGGCCCCAGCAACGGCAGCAGCTTGTGCTAGGTCATGCGACTTGGGCTTAAAAAGAAACTAGACTTTGGTTGGCGATAATATTCCCAAAAATGCCGTTCGCTACTCTAGCCACGACTTCGAGGCGCTGTACCTTTTCACCAACAGCAGAGACAGTGCCTGACACCTCCACCCCGAGGGTGAGCCCTGAAAGAGACTCGGAAACCGCAACTTCATTCGATAGGCCCAAGCTATTGATAACGTCCTTGAAGTTTAAACCTGCGTAGTGGATGTCCATGCTCACGTCTTCGGCTCCAAGGACATCTGATCGGGGAACACATTGACGGAACTTAATGCCATCTAGTGAGCCTCCGGGATCGGGTTCGGCAAGATAACGGCCACACCGTGCGGGCATTATATGTACAGGCTTGCAACCCTCGCACCCTTCATCTTCAGGGTTAAGGAGGATCAGCCGTTTCACGAATACTCCTTCAGGGCGCAAGGCTACTACATTTTCATCACAGCGAAGCCGACCTCTGCAGAGTTCTGATTCGAGCAACCCGAGATGATTATCGCTCTCACCAAATAGTAGGTCTACCAGCCGGAATCGGACCCACGGAAGTTCGTTCACCGCTACCCTTACGGCCGCCTGTGGAGCAGAAGAGAATGGGTCGCAGTGTGAATCTGCTGGGGTCATACAAGCTCCTTTGCTAATGACGATCACAGTCGTAGCCCCTTTACGTGAATGAAGTCGGTTTGCAATTTCCATGATCGTATGGATCGTCAACTCTAGGTTGACCTGTGGATCAATAGCTGAACCCCCCTAGGAAGTCAAGATGATACTTGGAACAAAATGAGGCTACGCCCGTCCAGAGGGAAGTCTAGTTTTCCCGGTATCTTAGGCTCTCTTGAGGGGAGCTGTCAAGTTCTTGTATATGAGCTCCTGGAAAAGGAGATTGGACGGCGGAGGTACAATTCATAACACCCAGTTACGGCTCAAATAATACCGCCATATCACAGACAATTTCGAAGGAACCGTCTCCCGGCTCTGGAGTAAACGAGATATCATACTGTGGCAGTGCTTACAGCCCCACGTGTTCAATATTTGCACTTCTTCGATGGCATAAGGGAGGTGTATTTCCATCGAGCTCCCTCTGTACTGTTGGCCAGCATACAAGGTATGAAAGCTTGTATCCAGAAGAGCATGGTGGATTCGGAAGCGTGCTGCTTCTTGATGTAAGGCTTTGGGGAGTGCCACAAGTACAAACAAATATTTCATTCCCAAGTCTCCATATCTTCTGCGTACCGCAAAAGGCATTGCAGTACCGGAGACCAGCCCTCTCTCCCTAAGTTCAAATAGAATTTTATTAATGTTAGCCTCTTCGCCTGTTTGAACTCGAGCTCGCGCAGATGATAGGTTTCCTATTATTGACTGAATCTGTCGAAGCATTTACTCGCCTACGTGAAATTATTTGCCATGGATCGTCTGGTTTAGTTAGCATCCGCCACGCGGGAGCTTATGATAAATCATGAGTGGCAGGGATGACCTCCAGTTGCGCCTGTAGAGGGAAATCTTGTGTTGAAGCTATAACCAGAGCATGTTCGAACCTCATACCTTCTATGTGGATACTCGTTGCGCTTTTTTGATGACCGAAGACGGTAGCAGCGTGAAACCCTGCCCAGTCATCGGGAAGACTACTTCCCCGTCGACGATGTGGTCTGTGAGGGATGGAGAGACTCCTGTGCTAAGGCAAAGGCGCACGATACCACAGTCATCATCCGATAATGGCGAATAACTTTCAATGAACAGGTGGTTTTCGGTCATTAACGAATACGACATCCTCTTGGGTGTTCAAACCAGTAACGCTGACGCTGGAAGGGATACAAATGCAGGTCGATAGCCCTCCCACTAGTGAGTGATTCTAGCTTTGCATCAATTCCCATAACATGTGCAACTGCAAGTACATGAGCAAATGGTGCAGCATCATTTCGGCTCGTGGAGGGGAGTATAGTGGCGGGCGTTCGTAATGACACCACGATGCGATGTGTCTTGCCAACAAGGACAGGGTGTGTTCCAATTTCTACGAGTAAAGTATAACCATCTTTCAACACTTAACTTACTGCTTCTAACTACCTCACTGGACAACGGATGTTATGAAACCAGTACTCCGCTGTTAAGTGTGTCTCTGTCTCCTTAGTTGTGGTGACAGTGGAGTATATAGCAAGTATTGGGATGCAATCAATTCTGACATAGCCTGAATGGCCATCTCATCAAGGAACAGAGCATATTCAAAGTACAGCGCGTATTTTTTTTTTTTTTATTTTTATCGCAGATTCTTGTTCTCAATTTGCTGAGTCAAGTCTCAAGCCGCGTCTAATGCATCCTGAAGTGACCCCTTCCTGGAACATGGGGTGTGAACTTGTAAGATCACGATTTTTTGATAGATATTCCACAAGTGCCATCTGTGACTTCAACTGTTGTATTAGCACTATGACAGGTAAGGTGATCCATGTACGCTAGCACATAAACACCCTCGATGCAACTATTAGTAGAATGGTAGGAGGCCATTATTATCATGATACTGATTTCTCTTTCAACGGTGCAAATACATTCATCCACAGTTCACTGGCCTCTCCTACATAGTAGGTAAGATCCATATCTGCCATCCCGGCCTCCTCATCGCCCGCAATGGTCTCAAGCTGGGAGATAATATTCTCCAGTCCAAATGCTTTTCCTGTGGCCTGAGTACTGCCCGCATCAAGCATGACATTGACCACATGGATGTGAAAATGGTAGTAGGTAGGCTGATAGTGGACGTACAACTTGATCTGGTCCCGCTCCATTGATGGATAGACCTTGACAACGCTGTCGAGTATGCGACTTCGCATGTGCTTCAACCATGGTACATGCTTCTTCTTCAAGTCACGCAGGCTCCAGATATCTCGTCGCTGAACGAGGGTCAGCAACCGAAGCGTACCCATTGTCTTACGGTCCCAGTTTAAATCTGGGAGTAGCAGGAACCCTTCCTCCTCATCTTGATGGCGATAGAGCACATCCTCCTGCTCCTTGCGTCCCTCGATGATATTATAAACCCAGTTCAGACGGCCGGCTTCACGTTTGCCAGACATGTAAGGGCGGACATGCTCCCGGTAGATATCTGGTGTCTCCGTGACCATGCGTACCAGTTGCACTGAGTATTTAGCAACATGTTGGGGTGTGCATGGGTAAATAAGGGTAAGCTTCAAGTCTGGTGAAGCGGGCGAGGATGGGGAACAAGCGAGGGCCCAGTGGTAAATGTCGTTTGCGCTAATGAGAGATACATGGGTGAGAGAAGTGCACAGGGAGGCCAAGGAAGCCTGGTCGACGGCAAAGGCGGCGCGTTCCACGAGCAGGATGGCAGGTTGGTCGTCAATGGAGCCGAGGAGCGAGATACGCCGGTCGTTCTGGTCTGAGATGCATACCTGAATTAGCGGCAGCTGCACGGGTGAGGCGCCGATTGTTCGAGTAGGACGTCCTACCTTGATTGAGCAGCCGTTCAAGACTGAACCGTTTCACCAAGCCGGTGACATCTACTTGATTCTCCCCCATACCTGTCATCGTCGTGCCCGCTGACTTGATATTATCTGATCTGGTAGAAACAAAAAAACAAACTTTCAGTTAGCCAACAAACTACGCGATTACATAATATAGAGTAGTCTTACATAATCTTCCATGGCCTTGACTACATGGACTTAAGAACAAGTGGACTCGGAGATGCTCCATCTTATGCGGGGCACGGCTGTGGGCATAATCCCATCAGCAGCAACACTATTATTGGACAGGAACTCGAGCTGCCCGCAACCAAGAGATGAACCCAACTATCTGGTCCAAGATGGAGCATCCAACACTTTATGCAAGCGGACAAGGCAATCTTCAAGGCGGTCTCTGTATTCTCTCCCTGTCTCCCGGCTCTTCCCAACTTATACTCGGCTCATCTACAGAGACCTTTCTCGCTGTGCCTTCTTTTGCATGGCGACTTCCTCTTGCTCTCGACATGTTGACTGCCTCTTTTGGACAATCTTATCTAATCTTTAGCTATTAATAGGACGGGATGACATAATCACGGATATGCCCTTGGCGAGGCTTGGCGAGGCTTGACCTAGTTAAACATACAGCACGTGCCTTCCCGTGACAACCCTATTGGCTGTGTCCGTACTTTTCTCGCCTTCTTCTTTTCTTTTCCACACGACAGAAACTTCCCTGTCAACAGACATCCTTAGCTCACTGAATTATTCGGAGATTGCAGCCCAGGAAGCAAGGAAAAAGCAAGGAAGAATGGAGACGAAAGAAACGACAGCACAAGGGAGGACCAGCCTTTTCACTGCCGCCAGCCTATAACCTGCCTCTCGAGCTAGAAGACGGAATCCTCCGAGCCCATGTCCAAGGAATATACGGAGTACAAGGGCTCGGCCATGGCGTGGAGTAGCACGTTGCAGTGGTTGGCGAGCTGACTCGTGATGTAAATGAGATGATGCAAAGGCGCGCCGCCTGGTAAGGGTGGGCGTTCCTTTCCTCGACAACGTGGGAGGTGGGCCGAGATCAAGGCCAATATCGAAAGGAGCAAGACGGACGAAGACGAGCAGAGCATGGGTACGGAGGCCTAGGGGAGGCGAGGTTCGTGTTGGGAGATGTGCATATATAAGAGAGAGCTTTGCCTGGTCCCATTGACTTTCTCTTCTTCCTCCTCCTCTTCTTGCACTTCCCCGTCCAAGCCAAGCAGACAGGCAAGATGAAGTTCACCGTCCTTGTCGCCTCCGCCTTTGCCTCCACAGCTTTTGCCCAGACCTTCCAGCGTCTGGGTGGCTGTCCAGACCTAGGATGCATCTTCCCACCGGACAAGTAGGCCGCTGCCCACAAAAAAACCTCGCATTGAGGAACAATAGCGATGCTAACATACGGTGTAGGGCCGAGTTCTTGTCTGGACAGTTCTTCGACATCCGTCTTGAAGTGCACTCGCCCGTCAACGGATCCGAAGCCCGCGTCGGTGGCCCGGACGAGAAGTTCACATTCACCATTGAGCGCAAGGGGCGAGGAAACCAGCAGCCAGAGCCGGCTACCAAGTTCTTCAAGACCGAAGAGCCCAAGCTTGAGAAGTGGCAATTCTCCTGGTACGAAGATCTGTTCGCCAAAGATGCTGGGAAGCCCTCTATTGTCAACGTCGCATCCAAGGCCTTCCGACGTGTCAGCCTGGACCGTCCCGGCATCTATGAGGCCGTCCTAACCTACTACAATGGCAAGAAAACCACTGCTACTTGGGAGGTCAAGGAGCTGCGCACCCGTCGCCGTGCAAAGAACGTCATCCTCTTCATCGGCGATGGCATGACCACCAATATGATCACTGCTGCTCGTCTCATGGCCCATCAATCCATCAATGGCAAGTACCAGTCCAAGATGCAGATGGACCAGTTCCCCGTCCTTGGCCACCAAATGACCCATTCCATGGACTCCTTCATCACCGACTCGGCTAACTCGGCCACCGCCCTCTACACCGGCCACAAGTCAACTGTTAATGCATTGAACGTGTATCGTGACTCTTCCAAGTCTCCCTTTGATGACCCCAAGTTCGAGACCATTGCTGAGATCTTCCGCCGTGTCAACCCTGGTGCTGGTGTCGGTATCGTCTCTACCGCTCACTTGTCCGATGCTACCCCGGCTGCTCTGACTGCCCACACCAGTGACCGTGGCCAGAGTGCTCATGTTATCGACACTTACTTCCACGGTCTCTCCAACTACACCTGGACTCAGTGGGATGGCCCCGATGTTCTCTTTGGTGGAGGTGCCGAGGATTTCCTCCCCAACAATGACAACAAGAAGCAGAATTACTATGAGATGTTCAAGAAGAAGGGATACAGCCTCTCCTGGAACGCCACGGCCCTCGCCCAGGCTTCCAATGACGACCGTGCCCTTGGTGTCTTCTCCACCAGCGTCATGGCTAAATGGCTCGACCGCAATGTCTACAAGGAAAATCTGAAAAACCAGAAGAACTACCCCGATGGTTCTGACAAGGACGCCGATGACCAGCCTGGTCTCAAGGAGATGACCCTCAAGGCCATTGACATCCTCCACACCCGTAACCGCAACCACCGCGAGAGCCGTGGCAAGGGTTTCTTCCTCATGTCCGAGGCTGCCAGCATCGACAAGCAGATGCACACCATGGACTATGACCGTGCACTTGGTGAGCTTCTCGAGCTTGACGACACCGTTCGCGCTACCATTGCCAAGCTCCGTGCTCTAGGAGAATTGGATGATACTCTTATCATCGTCACCGCCGATCACGGTCACGGCTTCGATGTCACTGGATCTGTTGACACCAAGTACCTCGCTGAGCAGAAGTCCGATCGCGAGAAGCGTAAGGCTATCGGCACCTACTTCAACTCTGGTCTCTCTCAGTACACTGTCCAGAAGCAGGGTTCTCTCAAGTACTCCGAGGGCGTCCACTTTCCCGCTCAATGGGATCCACGGTACACCCTTCACAGTGGCCTTGGTGCTCATCCTGACAAGCGTGAAAACTACCAGGTCCATAAGGATGGACCTCGTCTCCCAGCTACTACCGCTCATGGATCTAAGGACTACTATGTCAACTACAAGGATGCTGTTACCGGCTTTATCGTCAACGGCACCATTGCTCCAGATGAAGGCCAGGGTGTCCACTCTCTCACGGACGTTCCTGTCTTCGCCATGGGACCATGCCAGGAAGACTTTGGCGGTGTCTACAACTCCGTTAACGTTTTCTTCCGTATGGCCCAGTGCCTTGGTCTAAGCAAGACCAGATGGTAAATGTAGTTGTATAATTAAGTTCTTCATATCTTTCGTTTATGATATTATTTAATGTCCGCAATGGAGCATATGTATATTTTTTCCTCTAATCTTTTATGCTAGATATTGAAACATTACCACTGAATATTGAACTTCTACCCTAAAGCTTAACCAACATCTAATATCTCGATAAAACAATAGTTTGTTCAATTTTTTAACTGTGCAGGTCCCTCTCTGTCGTCATGTATCTACATATACCTGTCAGTTCATGTACCCCCCTCATCTCTCCCCCCTGAATCAAACGCACTTACCGAATGTGCAAACGATACCCACTCTTCCATAGACCGAACATATAGGTCATCATCCGTCGGGAGCTTCTCATGCTCCCATACTGTAAATGCAGAGAATCTTCCAACTGTCTCAAGTTGAGAAAGAGGTTCTTCGTTATCTTCTGCATCCTCGTTTTCATATCCCACCACTCTTTTGGTGACAGATTCATCTTTTGGCAGCTTGGTTACCACCACTCCTATTCTACGTTAGAGATGAGATACATTGTAGCATACGAGATACATACCGTGGTAGCCATCTGGGAGAGGTACGGAACGACCGCGCAACTTTCGGCCACGGAAATATGCTGTTGACACTGACTGTTCTATTCAATTGAGTTAGATTTATATTAGATTTAGTGGACATGTGGCTCACAAGTATGAAGGTAGGTATATTTGTTATGTACATACTGTTGTCAGCACCCCCGTCATTAACAGGATTCCAGTATCTTTTTGAGACTTCTACCGGGCCATCATGGTGGATTCGGCAGGGTAGTATGTTCATCGACACAGATACTGGTGTATGAGCGCTGTTGACCCATGGTTGGGACTGGGATGCCTTCTCTTGGTCTGATTCTGGCTGGCCTACCAGCTTTTGAACTCTCTCCTTGGTCGTCGCGGGCCGTAGAGCGAGCATTATTCCGATAACCAATAGAACTTGGTCGTTAACTGATTCGATCGATAGCTGCAGGTCAAGGTGTATCTTCTAGCTGGGTATCAATGAGTTTCTTAATATCTTCTTTCCTGCGTTATGAGTTGATGTTGAAATAAGGTGTACTTGTGGTTTAAATTGAATTAGACGCGTCGCGTTTGTCTCCATTCGTCATACCTAGTTATCGCTTATCGGCTAAAAATTATATTCCTGAATGCAACATTACTTCCCAGCGGATTACCTGTTAAGCACAAAACCTGGCTTTGTACTTGATGTCGATAGGTGGCTTAATGTTAGTCGAGAAGCAACGCTGTTTTGCTCAATACGAAACGCTCTCTAATTCAATCAGCACCTGTCTATGTACAATATTAATAGGCATTAACCGTAGCAATGACAATACGGAAAGGGTATCCAGAAACACTATAGGCGTTGATAATCAGGTCACTTTTTCTTCTTCTTGGGCTTCTTTTTCTTCTTCTGTTCTCCAGATCCACCATCTACGAGAGCCGGCCGAGCAGGCCACCTTTTCGCATGCTCCTTCTCAAAACCATCCTTGTCTCTACGGAAAAGCATCATTGTCGCCCTCGCATCTTCAACACTCGAGTGTGCACTGCCTTGTATCTCCAACCCTAACAACTCCGAAGCCAGAATCTTCAACTTTGGTGATCCACCCCCTGCCAACTTCCGGTATGGCGGGTATCGACTGGTATCTCTAATATCCCGTTTTGAGTGACTGAGTAACAAGGCTTCCAGGTCGTTTCTTACGGCGTGGCCGATTAGGATACGGCCATCGAGTAATTTGGCCACGTCCTGCTGGACGGTCTCCAGCGATCGCGCCTCAGCCATGTGTTTTGGGAGGATGCCGCTTATCGCCGAGCGCCAATCGGTAACCATTTCTTTAGGTCGGACGTATGAATCATAGACTTGATCACCATTATAATTCACAATACTGACGCGGGCGAGAGCCGAATCTCTGTCAGGGTCTGGTCCTACGCCAACCATCTCGCAGTCTATCGCAACGTATTTTCCCACTTCGACACTGTCACGCGTGCGTTAGCATCCCTTCACTGGCGGCGTTAGTGGGGCTACATACTCTGAAGAGAGGCCTATATTCACTAGGTCCTTGTCAGACGATTGTTGTTGACCTGAAAGCGCTTTTGCTGCATTATCTTCATCAGTAGCCGCCGTAACTGTGGACATGGTCTTCCGCCGCTTAGATGCGTGTCCACGATAAGTGTCCCCCTTAGTGCTGGTAAAAGTTTTGGAGGATAATGATAGTTTCCTCCTCACACCACCATTGTATACTGCTGAGCTACCAGTTGCTGTCTGTTTTTTCGTAGCTGAACTCTTACCAGTCGTAGTATTGCTGGATTTCAGAGTCTGCTGAAGCTTTTTCCAATTGCTCGAAAGATCTTTTCGCTCCATCCCAGCTATATAGTGCGTACCCCGTCTACCCCGCAGTCTCCCATGGATGAAGTCACCTCTGTCGCCTTTCCCCCCTTGTTGCTTGCGGCTTGAAAATATTAATAAAATATTAATCTTGAGGCCGGAAGATCTTATCATCGATGCAAACGGTGCAAACAGAGCGGTGATTATGTAAGCGTTTTGGCCTGTCCCTAGTGGGCGCGTGGAAATAGACGCGGGCGGAACCTTAAAGAAGACCATACATGCTCCCCAATAGTTATCCAATATAATAATGATCTTAGATCATGATAAGTGAGAGATTGCTGGTATATCAAGAGATAAGAACAAGTCATTTCTCGTATGTACATAATGCCGGAACTCCTAAACACCCTTGATCCTCCACTTTGCGCCAAAAAAGATAACCAGAGTTTGCGATTGTCTATTTCAAACTGATGGGACTTTGAAGTCTTTGTATGTCCACTTTTCCGTTGCTTTTCTCTTTGCCTTTTTGGCCTGTGTGATTGGATTGCGGGCTTCTAGCTTTCCCTGGACCATCAGGGTTCTATATCTGTCGGCTAGTAAATTCCCTTCTGGCTTGAGGAGGAGAAGAGAATCTTTAAGTTCTTCCGGAAGAACCAACTCCAGTGACTTGGCCGGTACGCTATAAATATGTGTTAGTGATGAATATACTAGGAGCATAATGATTAGACTTACGGAGTTCTGCCACCAAATGGTCGCTTGCGGAGGGTAGGCTCGTCATCTTCAGACGATTCTTCAGCTTTGGCCACAGCCAGTTTTGCCTTCTCCTTCTCTTCAATCTGCTTTGAAATTGCTTTAGCTTGTGCAGCTTGCTGCTCCCGTCTCTTCATTTTAGCCTCTGCCTTCGCTTTTCTCTCTGCCTCTTTCCTCCTTAAAATTTTATTTCTCTGTGCCTTTGTTTTCCTCTCAGGTCGCTTCTTCTTTATTGACTCAGCTTCGTATTCACTTTCGAACCCTTCCCATGCGCTTTCGTCGTCAGATTTTACTTGTCCATCATCACCTTCAGCTGCTTCAATACGTGCGATGCGCTCCGCTTCCCTCTTCTGCTCCTCTAATCGCAATTTCTCAGCTTCGACTTCCTTCTCCCCTTCCTTTGTAAGAAGTTCATCCCACTCCTGGAAAGATGGGTTGTAGCTCGTTCCTGCCTTAGGTTTTATCACCGATGGTATCGCTTTACCATTAGCCGCTAGTGATATAGGTGCATGGGACAAGGTCTTTGGGGCAACGACTGGCTTCTTTTTCTCTAGGAAGGAAAATTCCTGTTCTTGTTTGGCTTCCATCGCCCATGGGTCATGAGCAACACTAGGCTGAATTGATGTTTCATCAAGTTTGGCTTCCCGAGCCACCTTTTTCAACCGTAGCCATTCTTCTCTAGTTACCCAATCACTTCGACTTCTCTTTGTTTTCGGTTCTATAACTCCATCTGTAACTCTGGAATTGGATGGGCGCTTACGGCTGTCGACTGCACTTATAGCCGAACGCTGCGCAATAATCTCATCGGCACGTAAAGATTTGAATTTCTTTTGAACCTTTCGCTGGACTTCCTCATCTCCCGTAGGGTCTAATATAAACAGTTCCTCGGACGGTTTCTCTGCCAGCACACCGCTATAAACCAGATATTAGTATATCAGTTACTCCAAATGGAAGAAATAAAAAGAGTTTCACATACCCTTTGATCTCTTCTTCTCGAACCTGGTCGAGCCCCTCTTGCACTTCAGTGACATCGACATTTTTCCTCCATGCTTTCTTACCCTTTCTAGAGGGCTGCTTAAACTGTTGCGGGGCTCCCACAGTTGCCGACATGTTGTTAATCGTGATTTTGGGAGAAATAATAATCATAAAAAAAAAAAAATTTGGCTAGAAGAGATCGTTTGTGTTATATCCTGCTGCTGTAATTTTCTTCATGGAGGAAAAGTTATAACCTTATGTTTTGCGCTTGTGGTTGGTCGGTTTAGTCAGGTTCATTAGTTATCGCGCTTGGCGCTAAAAGGTGCTAAAAGTCGAGACTTCACCTTTGTTCGCAAGCCGCAAGAGCTTTAAGCTACAAGTACGTTCTATTGTGAACAAGACATCCTGGGCAAAGTCTCGATACAACAATACAGTAAGCATCGAGAGTCATCTGTCCGTCAATATGCCGGTCGTAAAAGGCGGTGTTTGGTAAGTATTGCTTTGTTTTTTTATTTTCGTTCAACGCGCGTTGCTGATAACAGGCTACTAACCGTTGTTCTAGGACCAATATCGAAGATGAAATCGTCAAGGTTGCTGTTTCCAAGTACGGCCTTAACCAATGGGCTCGAGTTTCGTCTCTTCTTGCGCGCAAGACCCCGAAACAATGTAAAGCCAGATGGTCAGAATGGCTAGATCCCGCCATCCGAAAGATCGAGTGGTCTAAAGAGGAGGACGAAAAACTTCTTCATCTAGCTAAATTGATGCCTACGCAATGGCGAACTATTGCTCCTATTGTTGGGCGAACGGCTACGCAGTGCTTGGAGAGGTATCAGAAACTGTTAGATGAAGCCGAAACCAGGGAATCAGACGAGCTAGGCCTGGGAGGGCCAGCTGGTGGCGAGGCTTCTGCTCCCAGTGCAGACGATGTTAGAAGGCTACGGTAAGTTTATTCCTACGCATCTGGTCTTTAGATTTACTGATGATCTTCGTGTAGGCCCGGAGAACTAGACCCTGATCCTGAATCCAAGCCTGCACGTCCCGATACCATTGACCTTGATGAAGATGAGAAGGAGATGCTTAGTGAAGCACGAGCGCGTCTTGCTAACACACAAGGCAAGAAGGCGAAGCGAAAAGCTAGAGAACGCCAGCTAGAGGAATCCCGGCGACTTGCCGTCCTACAAAAACGAAGAGAGCTCAAAAATGCGGGAATCAATATCAAAGTTGTTACGCGAAAGCCTGGTCAAATGGACTACAATGCGGATATACCATTCGAAAAGGCGCCTGCCCCCGGTTTCTACGATACACTTGATGAACAGTCAAGGAACGAACGTCAGCGTGCGGACTTCGATCCCCGCAAGCTCCAGCTCGCAAGCAAACGCAAGGGAGACCAGGAAGAGGACGATGATAGGAAGAGACGGAAGAATGAAAAGAATGGTTCGTCTTCAGCCTTTGCGGCTGCTGCTAAAGCAGGCCAGATGCAGCGAATTCGTGAAGCGGAACAAAGCAGCAAACGCCGAGCACTGGTCCTTCCAAGCCCACAGGTAGGAGAAACTGAGCTGGAAGAGATTGTCAAAATGGGGATGGCTGGAGAACGTGCAAGTAAGATTGCGGGTGAAGATGGTAGTGACGGAACCCGGGGGCTTGTCGGTAACTATTCTAATATTGTCGGGAACACACCTATTCGAACACCCAGGGCATTACCGGAAGAAGACAGAATTGCGAATGAAATCCGAAATATTAAGGCATTGACGGAGACACAATCATCCCTCCTGGGCGGTGAAAATACTCCCCTCCATGAAGGAGGCTCGACTGGATTTGAGGGAATAGCGCCTCGCCAACACCAAATGGTTACTCCGAACCCTATGGCGACGCCATTCCGACAGGGCATGGGAAATGCGGCCAACGCTACCCCAATGCGTGGGCCTGGTGCAACACCTCTGCGAACCCCTAGAGACTCTTTAATGATTAATCCTGAAACTGGCGATCCTTACCAGCTTGTTGGTGCTACGCCCAGGGAAGTAAAAATGCGGGAAAACTTTGCGAGACAAAATTTGAGATCCCAGCTTTCTAGTCTTCCCAAGCCCAAGGAGACGGAATGGGAGCTAGAGGAAATGCCTTCAGAACGACCTGTCCCACAGTCCTTTAATGAGGTTTCGGAAGAGGATGCCTCTGAGCGTGATATGAGAAACAGACTCGCTGCCGAGAAGGCAGCGGAAATAGAATTTAAACGACAAACACAAGTCTATCAACAGGGGCTTCCTCGTCCGGCCTTGGTCAACATCCGGCACCTAATGGAGGATGCTGACAAAACAGAATGTCCTGCTCGTCGACTTGTCGCTCTTGAGATGGCAAAGCTGATTGCGAATGATGCTCGAAAGTTTCCATTACCCGGATCCAGAGTCGAGGGTAAAATACCGAAACTAGACACGTTAGGTGATGATCTCATATCAAAGGCAAGAGAGGAGGTAGATGCAGAAGCCGGGAAACTTGGAGCACAGCCGCAATGGAATGATAGTTTCCGGTCCTCGTGGTCTACCCTTCATGAGTCTACCTCTACTTTACCCGGACTTTCACTCTACAGTGAGGAAGAAGGAGATGACGAATACCGTTTCCAACAAGACAAGAAGGAGATGGCTCATGCATTTGACAGTGTTCAGGCTAGCTTGCTGCAAGCCGCCGAGCAAGGTAACAAACTGGAGAAGAAGATTGCATTACATTTTGGAGGATATCAGGCCCGAGCAAAGACTTTGCGAAATAAAATAATCCAAGCTGATGAAGCCCTCAGCAAAGCTACCACGGCCCTCGACTCGTTCCGCACATTACAAATTGCGGAGGATGCAGCCATTGCCTTGCGGCTTGAGAGCATTCGGGACGAGGTAACCTTTATTACGAGACGAGAGCGCGAAGCACAGGAGCTCTACAGGGCTAGGAAGGACGAACTTGAATCTTTGGGTGGAGTGAATGGGTGGCATTAAAGGGAGTTTGTTCTATTTCAGCTTTTTTGGCCCGGTGGAAAATGTTGCTCCTTTTTCTTAGTAGTTCCTGTTCCTTTTTGCTTCTTTATTTCCCGTGTTTGTATTTTTACTTATCTGCACAACAAGGCGTTCCCAACTGTATCTAGACGAGTTAATTATGGAATCATCTATCTTCACTTCAGTTTCGGCTGTCGATGTGGTTCCTCTGCTCCGATACTTTGCCGCGCGTGTCAATATTTTGGTAGCGCGTGGCAATTAACAACGCCATCGCTCCCCAGAACTTCAAAGGTCGAACGAGATTTTCGCTCGCAACCTCAAAGTCGCATCTCAACAACATCCATCAAAATCATCACAACCAACGCGTATTCTATCAAACATTCAGTTGCTATATCGCTAAATACCGTCTACTGGTTAATATGGGTGTCCCAGAAGGCCCCCAGGAGGCTGTTGGAACGCCAGACCCCGCGGATAGAGGTTTTGCCACCTTGAATACCTTGAGGTACGCTATGAAAAAACCGTGGCCTTACTCTAGTAGCAGGACTATTCATCTATTTCCTGCGTTTTCGATCATCCGAAACTGACCTTATCGTCCTTGCAGTATCGGAGTAAAGGTGTTTGTCGTCAAAGTGAGAAACCATGCTGCCTATCTCGCATCACGTGACTGATACTGACCAAGTCGCTAGGATGGAGAGCAACGAAAAGCGGAGATTCTTTCAATAAAGCAGAAGAAAGGAGGGCCGACCTTCTAGTATGTCGCACTATTCCTGAGCTGCTGTGGTGTCGGATGGTACTAATATTGGCATAGTGTCCATTATGTGGACTTCAACAAGCGTCTTGATGGTAAGTCTTTTTGATACTAGTAACTGTCCAAATCCTATACTGACAACGCCTTTAGAATGGATTCCTGCATCAAGAATCGATCTTACTAAAGAAGTTGAATGGCCCCAGCCGGAGAAACCTGAAAAGAAGAAAATATCAGGGGCGGCTGCGGCTGCGGCTGCTACCAAGGCGCAACCAAAGAATCTCAAGCGAGGACAGCATGCAAGCAGAGATGCTTCATCAACTCCAGATCTGCTGTCTGGTAAGAACCAGAACATTTCAAAGGCCCCAAGACCTTCAAAGGCTGGAGGCAAAGAAAATCAGGAAGATGAAAGTGGTACACCATTCGAGATATCCATGCTTGGCAGCGAGGGGCCATCCATGAGTGGCACACCTCGAGTTCGTGATGGAGAGTCAGAAGACGTTGAAATGGCCGATATTCAATCTGAGGTCGAGGCGAAGGCCGCTCTGAAGGAAGAACAAGACAAGCTCGCTGCTGACGCAACCCGGGAAGTCGAAATTGAAAAGTTAAGAACAGGGGGTAGTATGACTCAAAATCTAACGGAGATCCACCGTGTACGGAACTTGAGTAAGATCCAAATGGGTAAATTCGAGATTGAGCCGTGGTACTTCTCTCCTTATCCTACGTCCTTCAGTGATGCCGATATGATATACATCGACGAATTCTGCCTCAGCTACTTTGACAACGAACGTGCGTTCCGCAGACATCGGAGCAAGTGCACCTTACTACATCCACCAGGAAACGAGATATACCGGGATGACCATGTTTCATTTTTTGAAGTTGACGGCAGACGACAAAGGACATGGTGCAGAAACCTCTGTCTACTCAGCAAGCTGTTTTTAGACCACAAGACGTTATACTACGATGTCGATCCATTCCTATTCTACTGTATGACTACGCGGGATGCCAACGGATGCCATCTTGTCGGATATTTTTCCAAGGAAAAGGAGTCTGCCGAAGGATACAATGTTGCATGCATCCTGACTTTGCCTCAGTACCAACGTCGTGGGTTTGGTCGACTGCTTATCGCCTTCAGCTATGAGCTTAGCAAGCGGGAAGGGAAGCTAGGTTCTCCTGAAAAGCCTCTTAGTGACCTAGGTTTACTGAGCTATCGTCAGTATTGGAGGGAAACGCTTGTTGAACTTCTTGTCGAGCCAGGCCGAGACGCAATTAGCGAGAGCGAGTTAGCTACGTTAAGTGCGATGACTGAAAAGGATGTTCATGAGACATTAGTGGTGCTAGGATTGCTACGGTATAATGTAAGTCCCCGCCAACCATGCTAATCATTATCGACTCAATGGCTTGTTTCTGACTGATGTCAATAGAAAGGAAATTGGGTCCTGGTGTTAACGGATAGCGTGATGGAGCAACATAAGAAGCGTCTCGAAAAAGAGAAAATCAAGGGTGCGAGGAATATTGACCCTTCACGTCTCCAGTGGAAGCCACCGGTCTTCAATGCCTCCAGTAGAACATGGAACTGGTAATGGAGTCGAAGTATGGAACAGTTTATTAATGCTTTTACGGGTGGTTTAACAAGCGATGCATTTTTATGATTTTTGTTTTTTTGTGACCATTGGGTCAGGCGGGTGATTTATGTAGTTAAGATCTGTATATTAGTTGTATCCAAGGAGACATTCCATGTTACTTCAAACGTGTCAGCACTGACTGGGCGATAACTCGCCTGCTGCTTGCCCACGTTATATTGAGAGACAGCGGGCATGCAAAGAAATTTGATTACAGGCGCAAGGAATAAATAATATTACAAGTCTTCAATTTCAGCCACCTATCGCTTCCTTTGAAATGACAAAGAATTAGAGATAACTAGTTGAGTAAGAGCTTGGAAATCCTTCTGGAATGTCCTTAGCACAGTGTTGAGTGAGACAATCGCGGTTGCGAGGTTGCAGAGGTTCGAGCGATAGTATTAAGAAAGGCGAAGACGAAGCTAGTAGGTGGAAACGTCGACCTAGGGAGGCAGGCAGAGAACAGGTGGCAAGGCGAACGAGAAAGTATTGATGAAGGGTGATGATGACTGACAAAAGAGAGAAGGAAAATAGGGGTAGAAAAGCTATCCATGCTTGGTAGGATCCGCCCGAAACAGAAGAGCAAAGCAAAGAAAAGGAAAAAAAAAAAAAAAAAAATAACAAACCTGACTTGTGGAAGGTTCAAGTCTGTGCTCATCTCACGAAATTAATTATTCATGGCTATCAAGACGCAAAAAGGGAGGAAATAGGGTGAGGGTAGTGAATCATAAGGTCAGCAGGCCTATTTTGTGCTGCTTTGATGGGATCTGTGAGAACCCTGGCGGGCGGAACTTGAGAGAGACGCAGGCGATGTAGTGTTGGCCGTAGTAGACACAGGCTTTTTTGCAGTGTGTGAGTTTTGATATGATCCGCTCCCTTCTCTAGATCTTGGGTTCCGTGACCGGTTCTTTGGATTCGAACGGAGTTTTCCTGAGCTGTTCCCACCTCGTTTAGGCAAGGGAACCATTTTCAAGCCCTTTCCTGGTGGCCGGACAATAACAGAGACTTCCCCGTTACTATCCCGTTCAATACCACCAATGATATACGGCTCAATACTTTGTGATAACACCGGTTTCTGGTACTTTGTTCGGAAGCGCGACTGCTTTGGCGCTGGGTGCCACGCAGCTCGTGGGGCCATGTCAGGCACTTTGACAACAGGCAAGGACCCTGCCTCACGATCTTCAAATATGGCTTCTTCATCCTCAACCTCCTTAGTCGTTGCTCTACCGGGGTCGCCTGTAAATTTCCGCTTCTCATCATGTTGTGGAAAAGAAACGGCAGCAGATGAGGAACTCGATATTACATCCAGGGGTTCCTTGGTTGCAGACGCAACTGCGAGTGAGTTGTTCTTCCTCTGGACAGGTTGGGATGTCTTCTTTCCGAATAGTCCGTTGAATCTGTCTTGCCAGGAAGTGGTACTCGCAATCGGCTGTGCGGGCGTTCGTGCAGGAGGGGGTGAAGCAACCATGGCAGCGAAGGTTGCAGGAGCCGGAGGAGGAGGTGGTGGGTTAGGAGCGGAGAGGGAGCCTGGAGGGAGTTTGACGCGAGGTTTGGGGTTGGGAAGGTGAACTAATGGTCTTTGCGAATCACCTGTGAACACGGGGTGGCTGGACACTTCCTCCGGTGGAGGGGGAGATTGGCTGCGAGGGGGCATAACCTCTTGATTGTTTGGACGCTTTGGTTCAGAGGCCGGTGGGAAAAAACGGGAGCCCCGGGTAGAGGGTGGGGGCACAGCTTTCTGTTTATCACCAAAAGGAAGACCGCTGACAGAATCAATTTGATGGAAAGGAGAAGATTGGGGCTCCTTGTCAGAAGTTGTAGACACCACTCCAATGATATTCCTATTCCCTGGACGTTCTCCAGCTTCAACCTGTCTCCAAGTTTCATTGAAGGTTGTTTGGAGAGAGGAGGCAATTCCAGTCTTGGCTTCTTCTTCACGAAGAGCTTTGAGATCTTGATGAAACCTTTCATTCTCTTCCAATTCAGACTTTCTAGCAACCAAATGAAAATTGCTCCAAGCTGCGGTTTCCTGGTTACGGTGAGGCAATCGGTCTTGTTGCCATCTTTGTCCTTGGTTATAGGATGGCGGTGCAATCGGTCCCGGTGGAGCTATTGGTTTAGGATTTTCACCCATACGATCTGGACGCATATGGTCAGAAGATGATAGAGGTGATAATGGTTTTGCGTTATCTGGACCTGCTTTGGAGGGAGGAGGTAGAGGGCGAGATATTCCTTCCGGAATTTCAGCCCCTTCCTGAGCCTGCTGGGGATAGAGGTGCTGTTGTTCAGTCAAACCTAAAGAACTGAGATCTGATGGGAAGCTAGCAAGATTCCTATCGAATGTGCCATTGCCCAAAGCTTTGTCATTAGTTGGTGGTCCCCAAAGAGCACCAAGACCCGCTGTGTGACCCTTTGAGCTGGGCCAACTGTATGTAGACGTTGCAGGAACGGAATACTTCCAATTCGACGGTCTTTCCTCTGGTTGCGGTCCATAAATAGGCTGTGAAGTTTTAGTCTGTCCCTCTTGAGCAGGTTTTGAACCATTAACAGTGGGTGAGGCGTCAGACATTGCTTGCTTATGAGGTGATGCCTGATGATTTTGCGCCTGATTTCCAGTTTGCTGGGGTTTCTCAGGGGGTTTCTCGGAAGAAGCTACTAACTTCTTCACCGACTCGGGGTGATGTACCTTCATCATGCCGTACTGCTTAGGTTCTCCTGTTAATTCCGGAACAGGAGGTTTAGGAGGTGAGGATATCACGGTAGTTGATGTTGATGGTGGACCGGTTGGCTTCTTTGACTCTGAATTCGACGATGGTGTGCTGTCTTTTGCACCTGGGAGCTCGTTGGCAGGTACACCCATAGACTGCAGTTTTATCCTTATGCGTTCTTGTTTTGCTGCCTCTTCTTTAGCTTCCTGTTCTAGTCGTCGTTGTCTGGCCATCTCTCGTTTCTCCCGCATGATTCTTTGTTGCATTGCAACGGGGTCTTCTACCATGACTGGGGGTTGAGAGGTTTGGCCATCAGCGGCACCTTGAGAGGGCACATTGGTTTGAGAGCTAGGTGAAGTCTGATTAAAGTTGGGAGGTCCATGATCAAGACTCCTGTGTGATTGCTGAGATGGGGAACCCAGACTCGGAGCCACTGGACCATTTTGCATTTGACGGGTATTTGGTGAGGCCGACCTCTCAAGCGTCCCTGTGGACGGTGGTCCGCCTTTGAATGGAAGTTCGGGTCTAGTTAAAGACATTCTTCGGGCGAATCCTCCACTACCTCCACTTACGTTCGACGAAGCGCGTCGACGTCCCCACTGGCTGCCTTCTGTCGGGCTTCTGTGAGTCTGAAAGGCAGGTGATGGTTCCGCGGGTCCAGATTGTTCATGCATAGACCGTTGAAGGAGGGAAGCAGGCCTAAAATGGCCATCATTCTTCCCCGATCTATCATTCCTCAGGTGCCCATGTCTGTTGTCTGAGACGGGTTCGTATCGACCTGATTGCGAATTGTAAAGTTCTCGGGGAGCAGTAGGTTGTCTATCTCTCCAAGACCTATTGAAGTCATCGGCAGCAATTTCTTTCGTAGGAGGAGCTGGCCCGGCATCTAACCTAGAAGGCTCAACATGGTTAAAACGAGGAACTTGATTTTGAGCTGGAGGATTAGGTGCTAGAGGAGACGCTTTTTCCACAGGCGGTAATGGGGCCCACGGCGACCGCACCGCAGAAACGCCCTTTGACGTTAGTGTGGGCTTATCATTGGTATTCTTTGACAAATCGCCACCCTGTTTAGATTGCTGCTTTTCGGCGCTTGCACCGACTTTTAAGATTGTAGTATTGGACCCAAGAGAACTTGACGGTTTGGAAAGTAAAAGTTTAGGGGCTTCGCGTGCTGGTGGCATATTGTTGGCTGGTGAGGGTTGTCTTTTTTGATCGCTTGAGTTATTAGCTAGAGTACTGGTCTCTTGGGATCCCGGCGCACTGCCTTCGGTATGAGTCAAGGTAATTTTGGTGCCATCGTTCCATTCAATAGTTTCAGGAGCCCAGTCATCCTCGTCGTCATCAATATCGGCCCATTTGGCCTCCTTCTCGTTGTCATCGGTCTGTATGCGTGATGTCATGTGGATTCCATATTGTTGCTTCAGCTCTTCATCCGTTAGGTGTTTTGTTGGAGGTGGTTGAACAGCTATATCAAAATACCGTTAGTTTGTAGAAAGCCCTTATGTTACGGAAGACACTTACGCCGATTTTTATTCCATACTAGATTGGCATCGGGGGCACCCGAGACATTTTTACTTCCTGCCGTAGAGGTCCGGGGAGAAGAATCCCGTAGCCCACTTCCGGATTTTGCGACTAGCCGTGGCCTCGAGCTTAAAGGTGTCGACGTAGATGACGGCGGAGTTGATGTTAGAAACGGTGCTGTGTATAGAGTATCAACATTTTGTCCTTGGAGAACACATAAAGCTCGTCATGAAAAAGGAAGAGTGCATACCTTTCTCTGGGCTTGCTTTGCTATTTCCATTTGAGCCCGGGGGTTTCGTCACGGAAAATTTGGCGAAGGAAACTGGTTTGAATGATGCCGGCCTTTTTACAGAACTTGTTCGAGAGTGTTGTGCCCCATCAGTGTTAGCTCGTGCGTCCGGTCGACTCGCATCTGTATCCGATCCTCCACTCCCATCTCCAACATTTGGCGATAAGCTCGTATTGGCATCGTTGCTCTCCGATCCGACTCCGTTTGCTTCGGTCGACGATGGGTTACCCGTTGATATTTCCTGCGATGATTGTGTGTTTGCCTTTGGTTTTGAGTTGTTATCAGAAGCTTGAACATCCCCCCGGTCCCCTCCAGCAGTCAAATTGTCAGGTTTGCTCGCAGGAACGTCGGAAGGCGAGAGGTCGCCGCCCGACCGGGTTTGGTTTACCACATCGTTGCTGCTCTGCTCTGCCATAACAATGCTCTATAGCTTCAAGAAACATGGGTCAGCGCCATCCAGGATTCACAACTCTTGCCCTCTGTTTTTCGCAAAACAGGCCAGACAAAAATGAGCCACAGTATAAGTGAGAAACGTACGTATCGTCAAAGACTAGTTATTGCGACGGAGAACCACACAAGTAGCCTATCCGCAGGGAGGACTTTCACAGGCAGGCCGGTCGGACACGCGTTGGCAGAAGATGCAGCAGAAGCTTCCTTGCTATCCCGGTGAGGCAAAAGAAAAGGTCGAACCAAAAGTGCCAGCTACAGTAAGCCCAGGAACGCCGATCACAGGCCGGAAACAAGACGCCGGTTGTTGTCAAGATAGTTGACGGTGTTGTAGAATTCAAGATCAAGAGAAGAGTGAAAAGTGACACTTTTGAAAGACGAAAGTCGGCCAGCTGCGCCAAGACGAGCCGCCTAATCAGGCTAGCGCGGTACATACACACCAACTTCCAGGCTGGATATTTTGCGGCACGCAAGGACGAGCAGGTAATAGGATGGCATTTGGAGGATAGAAAATATAGGTTAAAGCAAGTGATTCATTCTATTGAATATCTACATGTATGTGGTACAGCGTCGTTTGTTATCCGACTAGTGAGGGTTGTTCTTGTGGTGGCCTGGGGGCAGGAAGCGGCAGTTAGCATACGGCTGTCTATCGACGGGAGCGTAGACGTCAGGAGTACTTACGGAGGTGGGTAACGTATTGTATGCTGTAGCCAACCAGGGTCAGGCCAATAATGAGATGGACAAGGGCTATGAAGCAACGGTTAGCTATATGATCAACGCAGACTTAAGGCCAACCTTTCTGCCACAGGTAAAAATAGTATACAACATCGACCGATAATATAAATATATTAATGCGAAGAGATATTTCAAAAACTTACGAGCAGAAGAAGCATTCTTGCCAAAGTAGGCGGCCTGGTAACGGGCAAAAAGACCAGAGGGCTTGGCCTCGGGGGCCGGACCGCGTGGGAGTCTGGCGTAAAAGTCGCTCACACGCTCCATGCGAGCAGCATCCTTAGCAGCGCCGATTGCCTAATAGCATTGTAAGCCAGCTGTATCATTTTATGTGTTGTATGCTTGCAATGGTGGTCGTTTGAATATCCACCAGGACCACGGCACAGGGCCTCAAACGGGATTATGCGCAATTGATGGGAATAGTCCAGTATACGAACCGAAGGAGAGGCAATCTACACTGTATTAGCTATCAAATCCATTTCCTAACGTTCTAGCACCAAGATTAGAACATACCTTTGGGGGAATGAGGGTAGAGATCCCTCGTCTGGCAATGAAGCTCATGATGATCGGATCTTTCCGCGGAGAACCAGGTTAGCGTATTGAGGACAATAACAACCATGCAATAGTGCCAGCAGGAGCTCAATTACCGTGGACACAGGTCACCGACTACGTGGTGGGGATAAAGAAGCGGAAGAATTCGTGCTTTTTCGTCGATGGCTCTGCCGTCGTTCGGACTGCGAGAGTCAAGTTGAAGTCGCAGAGAGGACGCGCTAAACCGCATATGGATACCGGCACAACCGAAACTCCGATAGCTTACATAAGGTCCCGTGACTACCTTAAGGTTCGCGCAACCGGCAGATATCAAGAACGTCGCTGTTGAGCAGAATCACAACTCTACCCAGGCCAAACGCCGACGTATCTTCAATTCCACGATGCCACTACTGCGAGCTGGCGGGCCCTCCGCTATTGGGGCCATCTGCACCCGCTCTATTCGATTTTCATACGCCCTCAATGCCCGGTATCTAAGCTCCTCCGCCACCCATCAAGCCGCCGGAGAGATCAAGACCACCACCCAAGATGCCCCCGCAACACCATCTACCGGAAGTGCTATAACCCGCAAGGAGTCTGCTGGTGAATCCATTCCACGCCATCAGCCCGACTACAATGCCACTGTTGACCATGGTACCTCGTAAGGGCCCCCTACCCTGGGATTTTATACCCGTCTAAAAATACACGTGCATGTGCATACCTGCTAATTGTCATTTCTATTAGCCTGTTCTCTCCAGTTCCCAAGCGAGTGATGGACGGAAGCGAGCCAAGTGAAGTCGTTGCTGCTGCCGTTCTCTCCGGTGCTCCAACAGACCTTCAGGCCCGAACAGTCAGGTACCGTTCTGCCAGACGCTAATCTCCAATTGATGATACAGCCTACTCACCTTTATTCCATCACAGAATATACCGTAGTGCCAAACCAGCTACTCAATCTGGCACCTGGCGCAGCCACCACTGGAGGATGGACTGGGATGTCCTATCCAAGGGTCACCGCTGGGAGAATCCATTAATGGGATGGCAGTCTTCTGCAGACGCTATGCAGGGAACCCATATCAATTTCAGGTCAAAGGAAGATGCAATTCGATTTGCCGAGAAGCAGGGGTACGAATACTTTGTTCAAGAGCCAAATGAGCGCGTTTTCCGCCCAAAGGCCTACGCAAACAACTTCCTACATGAGTCTAGGAAGCTCAAATACATCAAGACAAAATAAAGTACCTACCGCCCCCAATCATTTCATGTTGTGTATATAATATTTTTACAGCAGTAGTTTGTACGCTGCCGTTCTAGAAATCCATTTCTGTTTTTTTAGATGCCATTTTGGCTACTTTCCTCATAACTGCCAAACGCTTGGTTACTGCACTATGACAAGCATGATAATTCTGCAGCATAGAAAAAAAAATAAAATAATCTATATGTTATCAAGTATGTATATTTAATCACAGATCACCCCCGTCATCAAATAATAGACCTCTTTGGCCAAACTCCCCTGGAACCATAAGTGCCGTTTCGCCCGCCATGATATTGCTCACCATAAGATGCTCGTAAGTGTTGATAAATGAAATCAAGGCTGGTGGAATGACCCGTGCGCCTCATCGCCCCCGTAAAAAAATGGAATGATATAGGAAAGGTAGGGTAATATACAATAATATTGAAATGGAAGAACCTTTAATCCATGTCACTGTCTTCGTCCGAGTCTTCACTGGGGCGTTTACTTCCTAGCTTTGGCCTTCCTCTTTGTCTCTTCTTTGGTGTCGTGGAACTAGAGACGGAGCTCTTTCGTTTCACAGGCCTTCCCGCAGTTCCAATCACACTGCTCACGTCATTCACTTCAGCAAATGGGTCGGGACTGCCCCGATCTTCATCACCGGCGATCTTGAGTTCATCGTCCACCGACATCAAAGTAGAAAACTCGCGGCACATGTTAGTCATGGAGTCAGTGTTGTCTAAGGATTTCATAATCCGTGCTATAGTATCCCAGAATCGATCACCGTTGATGCCTGGCACTTTAGAGGCCGGTTTGTTCAGCTCTTTGGCGGCAACTTTGCCTTCCTTTTGCAAAGAGTGGAAGTTCAAGTTATATAAACGGCGGAGGTAAGACCTTGTCTCCCACAGCATTGAAAGGCCGGCGCCGGCCGTTGCAAGTCGTTTTAATACAGTAGGATCAATTGGAGCAGGAATGATATTGGGCTCTCCTTCCTGTGGTCCAAGTTGTTCGATAGCCTCTGGCACTTTCACGGATAGGACCTCCGTGTCTATAGAATGTGCGACTGCGGTCCCAGTGGTCCCCACAATACGCTCCATGCAAGAAATGGCGGCCAGAAGTTCTGCGACTTGGGCATAATCAAAGAATGCAACGTTTTGGCACACGAACCGTGTAAGCTCCAGGTATTCAGGCGGATTCCCTGAAGTGTCTAGCTTCTTCAGTTCAAAGTTGGCTTTGGAGCAAAAATTCGTGAGGAACTTCTTTTGATACTTGCTGTTGCTAAGTTTGACAATATCGAATAGTAAAGCAAGTTTTGGAGTGAACGGACGAACCGAGGCACCGGTTGAATCACCAATAACATCGCGTTGGTAGTAGAATGCATCCTGAATTGCTCTCATGTACTCACGGTCAAACATAGATTCGTGTTGTTGGTGGAGCATTTTGTGAATGTCATATGCTGTAGTAGCAATCGTTGAATTAGGGGAAGTTTCCAAGGACACTAGTACCCCTGCGCATTCCTTTGGATGGATTAGGCCTTGACGGTTGATGCTTGCAATCAGTTCGATGGCAGTTAGTGCAAAAGTATCCTGCTTCGACATGGCAGCATGAAGCATTTGGGGAAGGAAATTTTGCGCTATCAAGGCCGCTGCACCATCGTTTGCACTGGCCTTTAATGACCCTCCAAGTCTGCTGGTATCGGCGCTATCACCGTTCGTTTCAGCCGTATTCACAAACTTTTCTGATTTACCTTCATGAATAGAAAAGAATGTGAGGAAAGATTTCAGGACGATATCCTGGAGATCGCCACTGTCTTCTTTGAAAACAGAGGAGAATGCTAGTCTAGCTTTCTCTTTGCCATATTGCTCGGGCCAAGTTTCACATATCGACCCTAAACTTTCTAATGACATAACTCTGAGCTCATGAGGGTATATAGAAGATGCAAATGGAGCTATAAACTCCACCATGAGACCAGAAACAGATTCAGTGTTGGATTTTGGAAACGCCTGGGCAAAGAATGAGCTGAATTTCTCCAGGTTGCAATGTTTCCCCACACAGCCAGCAATTCTTATATAACTTCGGACTCTACCCAAGGCATCGCCGCTGGTCGAAGCGTCAAGTTTGGTGTTTGATGCCTGGTAAATTCCTTTCAAGACGGATATTGTAAGCTTGACCAGTCGCTCCGTATTTTGCAGAACCCCATTAATAGTCCACAAACAAGCCATGACTTCATTAAGTTCAGTCCTAGCAAGTTTTGAGACGCTCTTGAACAAGTCGTTTTGAATCTCTTTGAGGAGGTTATTGTGAGCGGAGGAGAGATTTGGCAGAACACAACGGTATATGACCACCACAGAACGGAAAAGTAGGAGATCGTCTGTACTCGAAAGATGTCCAATGTAAGGGTGAAGAGTCTCCAGTTGGTCTGGAGTGAGCAGTTTGGGATTCGACTTTGCAAAAACCGTTAGTGTTCGAAGATGAGATTGCAGTGATCGCTGGTCAGTATTGGATCCGTGGACCACATTTTCAAAGAGAGTAGCAACCGCCGCCTTGCATATTTTGAAATTCTGCACCACTGCTCTGGATTCTGGGTGAAGGGCTGCTTTGAAGAAAGATTCAAGGTTAGATACCACCTCATCACCTCTTTGGACTGCCCCTATGAAAAGCTCAACCAACTCTCCAAGAGATACTTTGGCCTGCGGTGTGTCAAAATTATCCGTGGAATGGAGTGGTGACAGCCAGAGTTCCTCCAGGCCTTGCCGTGCTAAGGTTGCAACGTTTGTTTCATGATCTTGGACTCTCCTTAGTATCTGCTCTATGATAGAAATCCTCAAATCCTTGTTGGATGTTACGGTGTATACATCTCTCATCAGACCTATGCATCGCTTTCGAACACCAACAGTTGGGTCAGAAGCGCATGCTAATATTGCACGGCAACACTCATTCTCCAGTGCTGGCTTGAGGGAAATGCATCGGGCTGTCAAAGTAAGGGCAGAGTCACGGACCATTGGGGATGAGTCAGCTGCGCATCTAAGAATCAAGTCCATAATGGAGTCGTCACGGTCTAGTAGGCTTGGGTCCCGTTCAAGCATATGAATGACGCTCTTTAAGCTTCGACTCCGCACTTTTGCCTGGTCACTGGAGATGGAGCTGAGCAAGACCTTAACGATAGTATCAAAGGCCTTGCAGAATCCGCTGCTCAAAATAACGATAAGATAGGCAAATCGAGCTTGTTGGGTTGAAATAGTCTCGTATTCACTGTTATGAAATTAGATACTGAAAATGATGGGAATTAACACTCAGGGTGCCACATACCGATGTTGTTCAAGCCATTGAGGCTCGGATATTAAGCTTGTCAAAGAACTTGCTAGCTTCCGGGCAGAAGAGCCGCGAGATATGGCCTCATTCTGGGAGGCATCACAATAAACAGTGCATGCTGTTTTAGTCCAGGATGTGAGGAGATAGTCCCGAGCACTTGGGAGGTGTGAGCCTGCCACATCTTTAGTATTAAGGTATTCCAGGGAGATACGGTAAGGGCCATCGTGGACAACAAGATCTTGAACATGTAATGACCTGCTCAAATGGTTATCGAACAATTGCCTTATGTATTCCGTTAATTCCGAGTCACCATCATCCGTTGAGTTGTTTAAATGTTGTGCCGTGGAGGTCAAATCCGAGATTGCTGATCCCATCCAGCCTAGAAGTTCCAAGGCCATATTTTTTGCATTTGCTGTGCTTTTATCATGCTCTGCTATCCCAACCATCTGAGAAGCAAGCACTCGTAAAAGTAGTTCGACACCAGGCCATTCTGAAGAGCCAAGAATGCTTATCAGATCTTCCGTGAATAAATCCAGGATATTTCTGTAAGGCTGATCGCCGGTCTTCGTTGAGGTCATAGCTCGTTGGACGATGAACCTGGTGATATACTGCGCGCTACGCACGGCATTATCATAAGCCTGGTCAACCTGTCTGGAAAGGTAAACAAATGGAGAAGTGTCATCTTCATCCTCAGACCCCGACTCATCATCGTCTTCACCCGCCTCATTTTGACCAGATGACCGCAATTTAGGTTTTGCTGCATGTTGTGAAGTGCTTCTGACCGCAGTGGTTTGGACAAGCTGTACAACCAGCGCAGAAAGCAATTGAATGCTTTTTCCGTCCGTTAACTTAAATTGCCTAGCACTTTGCCTGGTAGATGGAAGCTTTTCGAGAGACACAAGAATCTCATCCAGGATAAAAGATCGTTGCTCGGCATATTTGGCAAATATCTTCGCAAGCATGTCCATAGCGCAGCGCCGAACCGCCTCGAATCTCTGGACTCCAATAGTAGAATCTTTTTCATGGTGAGCATTTTCGACGAATATCAACTTGGTAGCCATAAACTCCATTGCCGTGATTGCGCCCTCGACAAGGTCAACTGCAGAGAGAAAAACGCCTAGCTGAGACAGGATTTTCCTCGATTGTAGGGTTACGCTTGCTATCGCCTGCTTCTGGCTTGTAAATATGCTGAAGAGAGCTGTATCCTTACCACTTGGCCTGCATTCGACCGCTGGTATAACACAACGCTCAAAAACATGATTTAAAGCCGTCGGAATGAGTTGTATCATGTCTTCAGAGCAAAGTTCCTTTGCATCAGTACGGCCATCCATGGTGTGTAGCAGCGTGCCCATAGCGAGCAATGCATTCTCCAGCTCTCCAAGCTGTTTTGTCCAGTTTTCCATGCTGGTTTCAGGCATGTCACTTTCAACTGTGATATCAACCGACTGGGCCGCCATTATGGGAGCTTCACAAAGCTTCTGTATACGCGTAATGAACTCGTTAGGAATATCTCCAAGTTTACCATATCCGGAAACACTTCTAAAAGCCTTTTGTAGTTGCTTATGGGTCTCGGAGGTCAGACACGGCCTGCTATCTTCCGTGGTATCCATGGTGTAAAAGTATTTGTTGGTATTTTGGTCTGGATTCTGGGAGCTGTCGAGCTGCATCTCGTCCTCACTTTCAAATACATCCTGGAGAAGAGACTGGAGGTTTGCTACAGCTGTGTTGATTACTTCCCTTTGATCTCGAATCTTTACTGATTCGGCGTGTTGTGTAGCTGGGGACAACAACCGCGGTGTTGCATAGGTATCTGGAATATGTTGGTACTCGCTCAATTGCGAGGGGTCGGGGAACGCTGGAACCAAAACAACAGGTTTGACGGCCATACCTGGGTCCGGGATTTTTGAGACTGCCTTCCCTCCATCATCAGGGGTATTCCTATTACGCTGGTCGGGAGCAGGAGCTGGTTTGGATCTCTGCACTTGTTTTGGTGGGCTTGGAGAGCTTGGTGACGGGTCTGCAGCTACATTAGCAAATATACAACCAAGCATAAAACACTGGAAAAGAGAGGGATAGAGAGAGAGATGCATGGCGTACATCTAAACGGTATATTGGTAGTATCCAGCACCATCTTTGCAAAGGGCCCAAGCCGTTCGTGGGCAGTCAGTTCCATGTTGGCTGGCGGTGCCTGGGTCTTTTCAGAGGGACGAGGTTGACAAGCGCGCGGGGGCGCCTTGAAGCGACTACATCCCACCTCACAGTCAGCACAGTCGAGCCATCATCGGCAAAGGGGAAAAGAAAAGACTGTACATCGTCGTCAGGCCGTCACCTGTCAACCCTTCGCCTACCAGCAGGCCGTGTATGTTCTTGCGGACAGTCTCGATATAAGGCGAGTCCGCAGAGCTGGCCTGGGTCTCGTTGTCGAGGGTATCTATCAATCTGCCGGCGGTGTGGGAGTCGTAGGTGCGCGCCCAGTTTGCAAGTGAGGGCTGCTCGATGTCCGGCCGCAAGATCGAGTCTACAGAGGACAAAAAAGAAGACCGTCTGATCAGCATGGCACCGCTTGTCTGGCCGCCAGCCAGGCTGCACTTACCCAGGCCAAATATCGGCGCGCTCGTCATGGGCGAGAACTGCAGGGCCGCGTCCACGGAGAGCGGACGAGGCAGTCGTCGGGCCGCATCGTAGGTCGAGCTGCTGCTCTCCCGCGGTATCGCAGCCTCAAACGGGCGCTGCATGGTAGTGTCCTACTGATCAAGAGCTTTCGGTGGCAGGGAGAGGGAGCTGGCAGCATTTCGGTATCTCGTTCAGGGCCATTGGCGACGTCCGCGGTGACTCTCTCTCTGCGCGAAACGACAGAACGACAGCTGCATTGAACGCCAGCAGTTATTTGGATTTAGCTCGTCGGATTATTTCTACGATCCAAACTCCTTGCAAGGGTCGCATAAAACGATATCACCTAGCGCCACAGCTACGTTAGATAATCATGCATATCGTCCCCAGGTGTTTGTTACGAGTAGCGGGCTTGTTATGGGGCGGGTTGTGGCTGTTGCTATGTCTCGTTCTCCTAGCAAGGCCATGCATCAAAGCAGATTCAAAACGTAAGGCCTTCCATCTAGCCACCTAACGGTAACATTAACACCTTTTCATAGCTCTTTAGTTGATTATGTATCTTGAACTAGTTAAGCTAGTTAACTAACCGTGATAGTAAAGCAGTTTCCGGCCTTCCATCATGCAAAGTGTGTCCTGTCAGTACATAATGAAGAGCAACACTCGAACCTACTGCTTTCTATGGAGTTTTATCAAAGTACCTGGACCTGGCAACCAATACTGACAACACTAATATTTGTGGTTTTTATGACTGAGGTCAATAGGAAACAGCTGTAGAAATCCAAAGGCTCAGAGTTATCTCGCCTAATTTACAGTCAAATTCACGTCCAGCATGGCCATATTATGGCCAATCGCATGCTCACTTCCACGGAAATGAAGTTCGAGCCTTGAAAAAAGCTCTTCTTTGTCAACTACGGAAACCATGTTCCCAGCAAGGAGATCAACAGCTGCTCTGCATCTCTTGGATATATCTTCGTCGGGGAAGATATGGTGTGCTTGATATGGCTCATGGTAGCCTTGACAAATCCATGCCTTGCAAAGTACTCTTTGGCAAAATGGAGAAGAAAACCTTGGTGTTGTACGTTGGGAAGCCCGGAAGTCGTGTTAAGAAAGCGGATAAGTTCATTATCTGGTGCTCCCTGGATGACCAGTATCCGAGATGAATTGTTCTTTCTGGTAACACGCAAAATCTTTCCCAACGCTGCTTCCATGCCCGCGGCAAACTCAAGTTGCCACGATACCAAGACAATGTCGAACTGTTCTGTCGAGAATGGCAGCTTTTCTATAGTACCGTCAAACATGCGAATGTTTGGCTTGGTGCTCACCCAGTCTTGCAGTCTCGTGAACTGTTTTTTTAGCATGCTTCCGAATTAAATAGATGGCTGAGCGCCACCTACCCTTGTTGATACATCCCAAGCAGACTTCCTTCTCTGTGAAACTCCCAAGAATAATATTCAGCTGCTCACTTACTAGGCCCTCGGCGGAGTAGCAGCACGGGGCATTCGATGTAGTTCAGCTTTAGTCGGCCGCGGATATGGCCCTAGAAGCGGGTGGTTTTCAACCTTTCTTGCTAGTTGAAGATAGTGAATCTCTGCGTGATTGAACTCTAGATCTTTTGGGGTGAAGGAATAGCGAGACTCTGACTCAATCTCGAACCCAACGCTTCGGAGAATTCTCTTCCATCGCTCCTCAGAAAAAAAAAAAAAAAAAACCAATTCGTCGCTGTAGTGGTTCATCCATGGCTTCCCCATTTGTCGCGTGCAATCCCATGTGGAGTCATGAATGTACCCACCCGGCGGTAGGTCTGTACTCGGGGTCACCCCAATAACCAAATACCCACCGGGCTTCAGCCATTCAGAAAACTTGCAGCACATCGAGTATATTTCGCCAGGCGAAAGCCGGAAGAGGGAGAGAATCGCAAACACACCATCAAACGTGCATCCAGGCTCATACATTCTCATATCTACCTTCATAAAATTTCCTGGCACTTGGCTGAAGGCAATGTTGACCATGGTTTGAGAGCCATCGATTCCATGAACTTGATGGCCTGCAGAAGCTAGGGTATGGGCCACTGGTTTACCAGTTCCACACCCAACGTCTAGAATGCTGCTATGTTCCGGTAACCTCTTCAATGCAAGTTCTAAGAATATATGGAGATTCGGGCTATCGGCGAAGGCGTCTTCGTAACTATCGTTTCCCGAGAACCTCAAAGAGAGCCTCCGCACTTGCCGCCATAGCTGAAGGTGATATGAAATATGAATATTCCGGGTCTCTTAGGTGCGGTACCGAATGATAAGACAGAGTATAGAGAAATATCAATGGGAAAGAACCAGCATATATGCTAAGAATATCTAATCTTCATTTATATCTTCAGGCAACAGAAAAAAAAAGGGGATATTTAGGTGTTGACCTACCATTCGCTACTCTCCCATCCCCCGTCCATCCCTTACAATCATGGCAAGGCAGCAGGAAGCATTCAGATGAATATTTCCCTTGTAATTACGGCTTGGCAGTATTTAAAACGCTCAGCTCGGCAGTGATTCAGCCAGCCCTTTGACAACTGAATCCTTGATAGAATATAATGCAACGTCATATCGCAGTACATCTTGAGCATCAGAGGGTTCCCGGCTGCTTGATCCATGTCATTGAGAAGCCTATTCTTCCTGCGAGATTAATAATCGTGAGCAGCAGATTCTGAGCGTGGTATGCTAGGGATGCTCCCTCTACCAACTTAAGAGCCTGCAGAATCAAAAAATACGGCTTTAATCCCGACTTGACATGCATAATTAAATCATAGGTATGCTTAGTCGGGGCTGCATCCTCGAATCTAAGCTAAGCTATCAAGAAGTATCATGGGTAGCTTTTTGAAATCACACAAAATATATGCAGCCCGAAAGCTAAGTACAGCACTAATTAAGATTCTTCTTAATTTTCTCCAAATCATCCATCTCGCAGTTCTACTTTCTTATGATCACACAATAATAGTTCGCCTTTTCCTTGCACGGATATGGTTGAAGATACGTTCGTTACATCAAATTGGCAGTTGATATAGATGTAGCCCAATTAACAATACTTAAGTACGACCAACTAGCGGGGCTATCTCAATTAAGGTTTCCACCAATGAAAATTCAGTAGCTTAACTAGTTAAAATTCAACGCCCAAGAGACGCTTCGAGATCGACTTTGAGTATTTGAACAAAATTTCATCCCACAGTCAGAACGGAGTACACTAGCAGTTTCACATTCTAATCCTCTTCGTTCATTACGATGTCTGCAATTGGATCATTGATATTCTGTGTCGACTGTGGCAATCTTTTGAGCGAATCCACGGGTGATGCCAATACCATTCTTACCTGCGACATCTGCGGAACCCAGAACAGAGGTAAATACGCATTCCCCTTTGCGCTGTGTATATATATTTCAGTTTGGAGCTGATATATGACATTAGATCGTGCTTCGAGAACCATTGTTTCCGAGTCCAAACCGAGTGCCTTCCCGTCATCACTTCGATCGAAGAGTTCAGCAGTCCGCACATTAGCTGAGCAACGCAAGCAGGATGATGCCGTAATCCAGGAGACATGCCCTGATTGCGGTAGGACAGAGATGAGATACTATACATTGCAGTTGCGTAGTGCAGACGAAGGAAGCACGGTGTTCTACACTTGCGAATGTGGGCACAAGTACGTGGGCTACTTTGGGATGGGAATGTATTAAAGATTTCACATTGCTAACCGTCTATTTTCAATCCAGGCATAATACAAACAACTAAAAGGAGACTATTATGCGTGCATCATTTCAGGAATATATTGAACATGCAAAAGGCCTCCAGAATGAGCAAGCACTCAACCAGCGGCAGCCGGCTCCGGAATTAAACTATACTCAAGTTCGCCATTTTTCTCATACTCCGCCATATCGAGAGCGACGACGACGCTATCCTTGACAACAACCTCTGGGTCGTCCAAAAACTTCCTCAACACCTCTTCTACCCCTTCCTCGTCACCTAGACTGCCAAGGGCCTCAGCGGCCTCATGACGGACCATACCAGCCTCCTCCTTGTTGCTGAGTGCTGCCACCAAGCTTGGGATGCTAGCGGGATGAGAGAGCTGTCCGAATACAAACGCAATTTCGTGTCTGAATAATGCCGATTTATCCTTAAGCCCTTCAGCCAAAGCCTCAACTGCTTCACGCGCAGTTGGAAGATCCGGTGGGGAGGAAAGGTCGCGTAACGCAAACATTGCACGATATCGTTGGAAGAGAGGAAGGCTTGTGTCGAGAAGAGTTTTCTTGAGCGCTGGGATCGAGTGACCCTCCGAGGTGAGAGCGGTTGGAGGAGCAGGGTCTATGGAAGTGAAGTCACTTTACTATCTGTTAGCATCGTTTTTATCCGTATTATCAATCCCATATCTGTGTTTTCGAATAACTAAGGCGTAGGACGCACCTCTTCTTAACCTTCTCTGTCTGCCTTTCTTCGGAGGTCTCCCACAGGATCCTATCTACCGCAATCTCACAGGTTTCTCGAACAACATCTGGCTCACTTGGATCGTCCCTTAGCTTCCGCAGTAGATCTAGACTTGATGTGTCTGCTAATGCGCCAATAGCTTCTGCGGCTTCGTGTCTACACATGCTGTCCTCGTTCTTATCTTCCAACACATGGCGTAGCGACGGCACGGCGTGTAAATTCTTCGTTTGGCCCAGGCAGTACGCTAGCTCGTGCTTTAGCAGCGCTGATGGCGAAGGGAAGGCTGCGGCAATAGCGTCTATGGCTGGGATAGTATCTTCCGTAGGCGGCTGCAGACATGCGAGATGTTTGAGCGAAAAGAGAGCCCGGAAACGGCGGGCCAGCGGGGTAGTTTCTGATGTCAAAGTAGCTCTCAGTGCCTGAACCGTCGAGCTGACATTACCAGCTTGAGTACTGGTCTTAGAACTTCCGTCTGCCATTTTTATACTGTATAAATATATGCGCCGAAGGCCTAGCAACCGGAGAAGTGATAAACAGTTTTGGTGGGATGCCGTGAGTTGATCGCAGATAAAAAAAAAAAATTCAATAATTTCTTATCAGAGTTTATTTGGTTACCTACTTTTAGTGCCTCTCGGTGCCAACTACTGTATGTATCAAACTCCCATAACGCCGAAGGGCTTTTCTCTCGATTAAGAGGTTGAGCAAGACCCCATTATTGTAATATTAACCCGCAAGACGTACATTTTAGCAATTGGTTGGTGGAATTGGTACACGGAGGGCATCTAGACCGAGGCACACGACCAATCAAGACAGTTGACCCAGAGACTGTAGAGAAGCTATTATTATCATCGCGCATCAGCGTGAGAGATAAAATGATGTGAACTACGGAGCGGCATGTCCTTTACTGTAGACTGCGTAACGCAAAGAGAATAAATTGAGCGACCAATTTAGCAAAGTTCATGATTAATATGTCGCAAAGAGGGAACAACGCCAATGTAACCAAACAGCGAGCTCCAACAGACACAAGGAGGTATAGTTGTAGCGTGCATTATCTCAGCAGGATTCTTTAATAGAGTCAAAAGCTGATTTTGAATGGCGCTCAGCCTTACCTGGTTGTTCTAGTCAACTGACTGTACGGAGATGAGACTAGAGGGCGCCAAACGCGGCGCCAGTGGCTTCTCGAAAAACGCCAGTCCAGCACTAGTGGACCCTCTTTTGCCCCTGGGCTTCTGCTCGACGAGCCAGCTGTCTCAGTCTGCCTCAGAAGGCGAAAACATGCATGAAATATCCAAAGAGAAAAAGGAGAAAAGGAGAAGCTGAGAGTATTTTTAGAGGTAGAAAGAAAAAAAAAAAAACGGCGATGACCGAACTCGGCCTAGCGTTACTCCATGCTTACCTAATGCCCCTGACTAAACAAAAAGTGACGCAGCTTTTAAATAAAATCAACAAGGAAGACGACGACCAAGGCATCTTCTAACATCGCCAACATTATACGCTGCGAGAACCAAGCGGACAGATGTTCCAGGCCTTGGAGCTGGCTTTATATTCATCTGCTGCGTCCATCAGCCCCGGAGCCCAGCCTCAATGGCTGAGATGAAGTCTTTCTCTTGAAAAAAGACACTGGCTTCCTCATCTACTACGATGCTCTCCCGTTCTATACGCTCCCGACTCCCGGGATGCGCTGCCTGCAGGATCATACAACGCTCCGGATATAGCACAGTGCAGTTTCTACGATCCCCACCTAAAAATATACCCGATCGCCGCCTTTTCATCGTCCAACGACATTCACTTTCCGCCCAGAAGGTCTTCCGAACCTCCCGACCGTCCACCTTGAGATCGCAATGCCGCTCACTAACCACCGAAGAAGGCCCAGGAGCCTCCAAGGTCACCAAGGAAGTACGCCGTAGCCGGATATTACGCTTCGGATTCAGGGTCTTGGCCTTCAGCGGAGGTGTGATGCTCTTCGGTTTTGGTCTTGTGTTTGCGTTTTTCGTCTACGATGCCACCACCTACCGTACCGACCCAGACAACGTTGACATCCCTGTCTCGCAGAATGCACTTAACCCAAGACGGGGTGGCCCAAAGAACCTTCCAATTGCCGAAGTTCTCGTGGACGATCACGACTGCGACATGAAGCTGGAGCAAAAAGATAAGCCGAAACTTGTTATTCTTGGTACCGGATGGGGAAGTGTGGCATTAATGAAGAGTTTGAATCCCGGAGACTACCATGTCACCGTTGTCTCCCCTGTGAACTACTTTCTCTTTACGCCAATGCTCCCTTCAGCAACAGTAGGAACCCTTGGACTTAGCTCGTTGGTAGAACCGATTAGGCTGGTTGTACAGCGGCTTCGGGGACATTTCCTTCGAGCCGAGGCGGTGGACGTAGACTTTGACGAGAAACTTGTTGAAATATCTCAAGTTGACTGCGATGGCAACAGAAAGAATTTCTATCTGCCGTATGATAAACTGGTTATCGGAGTTGGTAGGTCTTTCGGAGCCCTCCTCCCTTTTGATCCCACTACTCATCTTTTCCCAGGCTCTACAACCAATCAGCACGGTGTAAAAGGTCTTGAACACTGCAACTTTTTGAAATCGATTGACGATGCTCGTCAGATTAAAGCAAAGGTCCTTCGAAACTTGGAAGTAGCCTGTCTTCCTACCACTAGTGATGAGGAACGGAAACGTCTTCTATCCTTCGTTGTATGCGGAGGCGGCCCAACCGGTGTCGAATTCGCTGCCGAACTCTTTGACATGTTAAATGAAGATTTATTCAGATCGTTCCCTAGGATTTTGAGAAACGAGATTTCTGTCCATCTTATCCAGAGCAGAAGCCATATTCTCAATACTTACGATGAAACATTGTCCCTTTATGCTGAGGTATGTGACTTGTTCGATGTTTGGTTGCATCGTAGCTATACTGACTTTTCTAGCGACGGTTCGCTCACGATCAAGTCAATGTGCTTACCAATTCAAGAGTCAAGGAAGTTCAATCTGATAAAATCCTCTTCACCCAAATGGAAGATGGCAAGCCAGTTGTTAAGGAGATTCCCATGGGCTTTTGCTTATGGTCAACTGGAGTCGGTGAGTTTTACCACGACGGCTGATCCTCTATAAACAACTTAAAATTAACAATTTGTAGCTCAAGCAGAACTTTGCCGAAAGCTGTCCAAGAAGCTGGAAGGCCAAAACAATAAGCACGCCCTGGAGACAGATACCCATCTTCGACTACTTGGAGCTCCACGGGGAGAAGTATATGCTATTGGAGATTGTTCCACTGTACAGAATAACGTAGCTGACCACATCCTATCCTTCTTACGTGAAATTGCCTGGGAGAAAGGCCGTGACCCCCAGAAAATTCATCTCACTTTTGGAGAATGGCGCGATGTAGCCCAGCGAGTGAAGAAGCGCTTCCCGCAAGCCTCAAACCATCTCAGAAGACTCGACAAGCTATTTGAACAATACGATATTGACCGGAGTGGTACTCTCGACTTCCATGAATTGCACGAGCTGCTCGTTCAAATCGACTCAAAACTTACTTCTCTCCCTGCAACCGCCCAGCGTGCTAATCAGCAAGGACACTACCTCGGTCGCAAGTTCAATAAAATTGCCCTTGCCGTCCCAGGAATGCGTTCTAAGGAAGTCAATTTTGAAAGCCTTGATGAAAGCGTTTATCGAGCTTTTGAATACAAACATCTCGGTAGTTTGGCATACATTGGTAACGCTGCTGTATTCGATATCAATGGTCTCAGCTTCGGAGGAGGCTTACTCGCCGTGTATTTGTGGCGAAGTATTTATTTTGCTCAGAGCGTTAGCATCAGGACCAGAGTCATGATGGCCATGGACTGGGCTAAACGAGCTCTATTTGGAAGAGGTATGATTTCCTAGCTCTACAATCATGGCTACCAGGCTAACAGTATCTTTAGATATGATGAATTTCTAACTATCACGCTAAGCACCTTGCATTTTCTGCACTTCTGACCGAGTCGCTCACTTAGATGTTTTCCTATTTATATCTGGATAATACCATTTTGTTTACTCCATACTCCATCCCAACTTAGACTTAGCCGTTTGACCTCACCTCTCCCATGATGTTTATTTATTTCCTTTATTCTTTAGTGTGATTTTTTGACATGCAATCTCATTGATTCTCTGCATTTGCTTTTTTGTATCTAGCTCACTTGTTTGCCTTATTATGTTTTCCTCTTCCATGATTGTTTCCCAGTCCTCATTTGTCGCTGGCCGAATTTTTGCCTTATATAACATTCATTGCTACATAACTATTTATTCATCTGTCTGGATACCTTGGAAAGGTACTCCAGAATGTTGATACTTGTGAGCGGTTTATATTATTGAAAGCAAATTTGGGCGTTTTAAACACTTGGAAGCAGCAGACAGGAGAATACACTCGCCATTTGTCTACGTGGAGAGGTGGGAGAGAGACTACGGAGCATTCACTGAAGACGTTACCTCGGTGAGATACCTTACAGGAGACTAATTAAAGCAGAGTATTATTATTATTGAGAACGTATCATGATATCATTGTCAGTGCTGAATCACGCCTTTGTTAAAATACACCGGAACGTGTTAAGAAGCTAATAATATACCTTCACGGAGAGAAAATTCAAGACATCCGGCCCCGAAAAAAACCATTGCGCCATGCTAAGCGATTGGAAGAATAATTAAAACGGGCCACATAGGCACAAGTTGGGCATTACTGAAAGATTAATGAACCATGGAGTCAAGGTCGCCGCGCTCTTGCATGACAACATCATCCTGACTGGCAGAACCGTTGGTTTCATTGCCATTGGTGGCGTCGTTATCAAACCCGATATCCAATTTGTCTGGAATATCCTTCTTGGAGTTTCTGGCCATTTTTTCAGACCAAACGCGAAGTTTGACAAGAGCACGAAGTCTAGCTTCACTTACTGAGCCTTGTCTTTGGAGGATGGCTTCGTTAACCTTTGCTGCAACGGTTTTACGCATAGCAGGATCAAGAAGTTCATTCAATGGCGCTGAAAGATTTTCCGGAGAAAAGATTAGTAATGACATGGTTTCCTCGAGCTCCTTGATGAACTGCGGTGCTGTCGGAGCTCGAGGTGCCAACTGTGAAGTAGCAAAATCTAGAGCTGGTGTGATATCGGCATTTGGGGTAGTTATACAGTTGCGTATTAACTCGATGAGCTGGAGACGTAGTAAAGAGAAATGGAGCTCAGGCTTGTCATCAAGCAGCTATTAAACATATCATTAGCAGCAAATTCAATAAAGGTGATCTTGCTTGCACAAAAAATGAATTATTCCCAAAGAATCATACTGAGGACTGAAGATGAGTAGGTTTCATCAATGCCCTTATAAAAGGGTCATTATGCGTGGTGCATGAAACATCGTCTAATCATGTGGAAGGTAAAAAGATACGTAACTAGAGCGGGGCAGAATTACCTGGGGGTTGAGCTCATTGAGCTTTTCGATTGCTGACTGGATATTGCCCGAGTAGATCGCATTTCGAATCTCGACGCGCTCTTGTACTGTGTCAGAATCATGACGCTGTGGGATATTTGCCTCTGCTGCAAATTTATTTGCTGCTGATGGGTATCCGTTTGTGACAAGATAGTCCATTACTAGATAATTGATGTCCCTGGAGAAGCGTGTCCATTAGCGAACCTGCTAAATAAACGCACACAAAAAATAGTGGACATCGATGTTTCAGCTCAGGCAACGAGTTAATTATTTTTTTCCTACACGAGATTTTCGGAGAGATTCCCAACTTGAGTTTTAACTCATCATAGCATCGGCATCGTTCGATATCCATGAAGGATTGCACCGGAGGGTCAGGGAAGGAAGAAACTCACATTTTGGAGGGTTTATGCTCCTCCATCTTCTTCTCGAAGTTCGACCATGTTGGAGTGGCCGTGGAGGGAGTTGGTGACATCTAAACACTTTAGTAATCTCTCCGTGGTGAGCCTTTGAAAGAGAGAGAACTCGCTCCACATACGAGATTCGCAGAGGCCATTGTCACCAGCTTTTCAACGGTCTCCAGGAGAGCAGAGAGGGCGCGTGAAGCTATCTTGGTCTATTCCTCAGCCCGTGTATCTGACCATCGCCGTTCCATGAGAGAGGGAGTGGGTGGAACAGGTCACTGGAAGCAGAGGCGCTGATCCTGCAGTTGACGAGAAGAAGAGGAAGTTGGAGGTTGAAAAGAAGTTTCTGCCTTTTGTACTTCGGCTGACAAAGCCCTGGGCCCTAGCGTGGTCATGTGACAGGCCTTTCGCTGGTCGCGTGTTCAGCAGGAGGGAAGAGGCTCCACCCGCGGGCTTCTTTTACACAGACGAAGGAGCAGCGAGAGAGAAAAAGACACTCAGGCAAAAAACTCCACTCTTGCTGGCACTTTTTCTTTCTGTCCTGGATGTTTTTATATATGCGTATGGGGTGCTGATATCACTGTAAATAGTGCCGTGGGTCTGGAGACCGGCGTTTGCTTGTGGTATGTTTTACCCCATACCGAACTTTTGACGCCTATATTGAGAGTTCCTATAGCTTTGTAGTAGTCTTGTTAGGGCATGTTCCAAGCCCAACTATCACTATATCGTCTTGGATAGGACGGTATATTGCTATTTTTCATATATTTTTTTCATATTATACACACACATATATATATATGTCACGATACCAACATGCTTGAATCGGAATTTCGACACTTCACGATGAGCCGGCAGAATACCCGGTATCACTGCCCCTGGGAGCCGATGATCATTGTTGGTGTTGCTGGTAGCTCCGGCTCTGGAAAGTCTTCGGTGTCCCAGGAAATTATTAACTTGCTTGATCTCCCGGGAGCCTCCATCTTGGTCATGGTATTTTCACTTCGAGGACGGGGGCTGCCACAAAGCTATCGTTGGAACAGTTATATCTGACTTTACATGCGAAAAGGACTCGTTCTATAAAACACTCACGCCTGAGGAGAATGCTATCGCACATGCAGACGAATACGACTTTGACTCTCCTCTCGCAATAGACTTTGACGTCCTTGTTAAGCTGTTGCGAGACCTAAAGAAAGGGTATCTATACGTTGATTCAGTGAAGAGTCGCTTAACATCATGTCTAATTTCCTAATAGCCTCAAAGTCGAAATACCCATTTACTCGTTCAAGAAACATCAACGAGAACCTGAAACGACCCCAATGCATCCCCCGCGAGTTTTGATCCTCGAGGGAATACTGGCCTTCACCGATCCAAGGATACTGGAGCTTTTGGATCTCAAGGTATACACCAGCTCATGCGTATGTTTTTGAACGCGTGGTTAATGGTGTTATAATAGATATTTGTTGAAGCAGACATGGATGTTTGTTTGGGGCGGAGAAGTAAGTACTTAGATACTCCTTTTTGATATCTCATTTAGACTCCTGACACTGATGTAAAATCCGCCCAGTTGCGCGAGACGTTCGTGAACGAGGAAGAACCATCGATAGTATATTAAAACAGTGGTTTAAATTTGTGAAACCATCGTATACCAGATATGTTGAGCCTCAAAGGATTATTTCAGGTACTTAAATTCCTCAACGACCGAATTAATATTTACTAACGTCTTCGATAGATATTATTATTCCTCGCGGTATTGAAAATAAGATAGCAATCGGTAGGCTGACCTCTACCCATCGTTACATGCTATTTCCATCCAATATTAACGACCCTAGACCTCGTGGTGAAGCATATCCAGCGAGGCCTTGCAAAACAGGCCAGTTACTACGATATGCGTAACAAAAAGCCTTCTATCAACCGCCGGCTTTCCTTCTAATTCGGAAAGCTACCTTGTCTTGTTGTTATCGTTGCAGGGAAACTACTCCATTGTAGATCCACCATTTCTGGAAATAGCGCTGTTTGGCTCGCTGGCTGCGAGAGTATTTGGTGACGAGATTTACATTGTCTATTTATTTTTTTTTCCTTTCCTCATGAAGTTCTTCTATGTAGGACTCACTTTGGTTGCCAAGCTCTTTCTCACGATTTTGATTTCTTTCTAGTGAACCACACTATCAAAACATTATATCCTTCCTTACAGTACTATATGAAATAAAATAAAAATATATGTCAAAATATGTATCTCGGTGCTTTATAATTCTAATTGTAGGTGTCTGATTGGAAGGCGCTTAAGCAAGCTGGTTATCTTATCAGATCGTGCACAGATCACATGGAATTAAGCTAAGTTAGTTGAAGTTCGAGAAAAAAAAAAAAAAAAAAATTCCTTAAAACCCCAGAGATTATCAGCGATCTGGATGACAATTAAAACAACGGCTTTCTCTCAACTATTGCAGTGCTACCGAGCATCACAGTTTATACTTTGAGATCTGTGGAAGCATTTTATTTCTGTTTGCTTAATTAATCTGTTAGAAAGTGGCACGTCGGTGCAATGGGGGAGAAGATGGCCTCTAAAAAGAAAAAGACAAGATCCTCCGGCCAAAGCGCTACCAATGTTATATGTAAGAGCTTCAAATTAATATGTATGCTCTACTTTGTTTGAATATCCTATCTAACCGAGATCTAGCTGATCCTCGATTCGCAAACATACAATCTGACCCCAGATATCGGCTACCGAGCAAGAAGCACACTCATGTCAAGCTTGATAAACGCTTTTCGCACATGCTGCGCGACTCAGATTTTTCCAAGAATGCTCCAGTTGACAGATACGGAAGAAAGCTGGCTCGGGACGATACACGGAAACAGTTAGAGAAATTTTACCGGGTTGATGATGAGGATGACCAGGAGGAGAAAGATAAAGATTCCGAAGAGGAATATATTAGTGTTGATGACGATGAAGAAGTACAAAAGGAGCTACGTAGGGTGGAAAGGGCAGGCTATGATCCGGCTCGTGATGGCGGATTTGACTCATCCTCTTCTGACGAGAGCTCCAGTGACGAAGAGGAAGAGGAAGATGTTGCGGGCAACATGGAAATGGAGATTCCTGGCCCCGGCCAACAGGATGCTGATATCCCTACGGGAGAATATACGGAAAGGATAGCTATTGTGAATCTTGATTGGGATAATATCAAGTCCCAGGACCTTATGGCTGTATTCACCAGTTTTCTCCCTCCCGGTGGCGTTATCCGGAAAGTATCAATATATCCAAGCGAATTTGGGCGCGAAAGGATGGAAAGGGAAGAAATGGATGGACCGCCGAAGGAGATATTTTCTCACAATACTAAATCCCAGAATGAGGACTCTTTATCGGACGAGCAAGATGAAGAGGAAGAGGAAGAAAAGATTAAAAAATCTCTCCTAGTCGAAGGAGACGGGGACGACTTTGACGCTGGGAAGCTACGGCAATACCAACTTGAAAGGCTCCGGTACTTCTATGCTATTTTAACATGTTCATCAAAGGAGGTGGCCAAACACATATACGACGCTGTGGATGGCACAGAGTACATGAGTAGCGCGAATTTCTTTGACCTCCGATTCGTCCCTGATTCCACTGACTTCACGGATGACGTTCCCAGAGATGAGTGTGTGAAACTACCAGATGATTATCAACCAAGTGACTTCGTCACAGATGCTTTACAACACAGCAAGGTCAAATTGACTTGGGATGCGGATGATCGGGCTAGAAAAGACGCCCAGGAAAGAGCCTTCAAGGGGAGTAGGAAGGAGATTGATGAAAATGACCTCAAAGCATACCTCGGCAGTGATAGCTCAGAGAACGAAGAAGATGAAGCTGAAGCTGCGGGCGCGGCAGAAGCCGGAGCCGCACCCAAACTGAGCAAGAAAGAGGCAGAACGTGCAAGGGTCCGAGCATTGCTTGGTCTAGGTGATAAACCTGCAGCTGGCAAAAAGGAATCAAAGCCAGTTGGTGAAATGGAAGTCACATTTTCAGCAGGGCTGACGGCCGCCCCCGCAAGGGACACAGTATTTGAGAACGAACCTGAGAAGGAAGAAACAACAAGGGAAAAATATGTTCGAAAGGAACGAGAGAGAAAACAACGAAGAAAGGCTAAGCTAAAGGCTAGCAGATCGGGCGAGGGAGTTTCGCAGGAAGAGGGTGGTGGAAAAGATAGACAAGAAACCAAGGAAGCCGAAGAGGACCTTGGCTTTGATGACCCTTTCTTTACTGCGCCTGAGCTTGACGCTGTCAAGGCAGCCAAACAGCGCAAGGAAGACAGGAAAAAGCTTCAGGAACAGCGCAGAGCCGAGGAAGAGGCATCCGCATCCAAGAGAGCTGAACTTGAACTCCTCATGATGGATGACGAAAAGTCAACACCCATTTCACATTTTGATATGAATGAGATTGAAAAGGCTGAGAAACGGGCTCGAAAGAGCGACAAACATAGAAAGGGAAAGAAGAGCGTTGTCGAAACTACGCCTGTGGATAATTTTGAGATGAACGTTAAGGATCCTAGATTCCAAAGCCTCTTTGAAAGCCATGAATACGCCATTGACCCTACCAACCCCAGGTTTAAACAAACAACGGGTATGAACCTGCTACTTGAAGAAGGTCGAAAGCGAAGACGCCACGTCGATGATATGGGCCCCAGTGAAGAGAAATCCGGTGAGAAACTGAAAAGAAATAAGAAAAGCAAGTCAAGCTTAACGGTGGCAGATGATGGGGAAGCAATTAGCAAGCTTGTTCAAAAGGTGAAGGCAAAGACCAAAAAATGAATCCTTGTATAGTAAAAAGTTATACCACCAGATAAGTCACGAAATCCATTAACCACTTTCCCTTCTATTGTGATCTTTACCACTGCTTTTCCGCTCTGCGCCAAATGGGCCGGCGTTTGGCTCGATGTCGTTGGAAATATCTCGGAGTTAACGAGCCAGGGGCGTTTTCTTAATCACGTGATCCATTAACTGCGGGCCCAGTTAACTAACTTAGTTTTTTTAAATTTTTTATGCTTTTCTCAAAAGCCATAGTTTTGACGATGAGATATCAATCAATGCTATGAGAAAGAGGAAGCCGGCGCACTCACAATGGCTAGTTTCGATGATAATGCCGCCCGGGCTAAACGGAGAAAGATTGACGGTGATGCTACTATTCCTGTAACTGCTGAAATTACTTCCTACCAGCAATTAAGAGATATTTTGAGGTTCCAGCAAAACATATCACAAGAAACAAAGCAAGGTATGTGCTGATAATCCTGCTTATGATGCATCATATTGATTCACCTAACAAATTGATATAGGGATTCGTCACTTTAAAGAATTTTTGGCTTCTATTCAAGGGGACATCTCTGAAGCTGAAAAGTCAAAGAAACTCCAAGTCTTACAAAAATATTGTGCTTCTCAATATGTCAAAAGAGGAGACGAAACCCCCCCTATTTGCTTCACTGATCTTGTTAGCATTTGGAACTTTGCAGAGAGCAATAATGAAGAGTCGACACTTTCGCTTATACCCTCGGTTCTCGCATCATTCCTGAAAACCATTTCTTCCCAGCTTGAGTTCAGGGAATTTTCAATTGAGCTTAGCAAATACTTGCTATCCAATGAAAACATCAAACTTATCAACCGTGGCCTTACTGCAAGCAAGTCAAAAGAGCATTTGATATCGCCTTGTCTTAGGCTGCTGACTGAGATCGTGAGCTTTGACGGTGGGGCCGTTGCAAAGGTAGTCTATGCTAAACGAGATATCACGCTGAAAAGGCTCGATGTGTTTCTTACTATGCGTAAGTTACAGGCGGGGGAAATAGCTGCGGATCGACGTAAGCCCACGCTCCGCCGTATTGCCCAGCGCTACTTGCTTGCAAATCTAAGATATCAAAGCCCTGCAGCTAAAGCTGAGCTATTGAGTCAGGGAAAACTTATAAAGGTATTCATTGAGGATATTAAGCGAGATTCAGGGGACATAGTTGTGGATATTATCAAGACATTGGATAAATTCGTTGTATCGGATCCTGTTCTCTCCCGCAGTGTCAAGAGCCGCCTCTTAAGTCGATGGAACCTGGAACGATTCGCGACACTCTATGGGTACGAAAAGGACTCTGAGGAATTTATGCCGGAAGGTGTGTCGGTTTCTGACGAAATACACAAGTTTTTACTACTGGTTTGCACAAACGTCGACAAGGGTGTCTTATTATCGGATAATGGTTGGTACTCGTCAGGCAACAGTACAGAACCACTGATCAACGATACCGAAACCATCTCTCTTGGACTTGATGCACCAAGCCACTTCGACAAATTTAACGAAACAATACCTATCCGTAATGGAAACCTTTCAACTTTGATTCAGTTCCTTCGCCCCGAATCAGACACTCGACAGATGCAGTTGCTACTAAAAATTTTCCGAGCCGCTCCTGAGCTAGTATATGATTACTTCTCGAAGCGCAATATGTTTAATTCCGACCCAAAGCCGACACAGGCCTGGCTTGGAGAGTCCGCCTTTTTATTCTCTATTATCCAGTTGCCTGTGCCTCAAAAATGCGGCTTCAGGGAAGGCTCACCTGCGGTGCCTCCTCCGGTATCTGTCGCTATTGAGAGTATCCTCCCGCGCCCTCTTACGCAAAAAATGTTGACTCGCTGTATGAACCAGAACACTGAAATTGTTACGTTGTTTGCGATCAAGGCAACAACAGCGGCTCTTCGAAAACTTCGAGGTGTGCTAAAAGTGTTTGACTCCATGGGAAGCTCAAATCCGGAACTCTGGAGTCAGGCGTCTACAAAACTTATGAATGAGTTCACTTCCAGATGTCCTACGATGAAAGATACCATTATTGCCTTCCGTCAATCCCCGAAGGATGACCTGCTGCAGCGAGATGCGCTTTTAGAGCTGCTTTCCTTATACTACCAAGTCGCTCCAACTGTAGCTTTTGAACAAAAGCTCGACGTGTCATTGGTTTTAGTCGAAGTCCTGGACCAACTGAGCAATGACGAGTTATCTACGGAAAACCGTCAACTATTATTCAGCCAATTGCAGCACACCCTAGCAATTTCTCAACATTCGCCTGCTATGCGCTGGTGGCAGAAGCCAGGTAAGTTGCGTCTTACTGAGAGGTCTACCGATGAGACAGACTGACATACTTATTCGATATCTAGCACCCTTAACCTTATCGGTATTTACCTCAGTACTAAAAGTTGCTGTGGAAAAACAGGATCATAGCGCCCGGGCCAAAATTTACTCCCTTCTACAAGATGTCTTGACGCAGGATTCAATCTTGGTACAACCAGATTCATTCGAAGCCCTGGTGCTTAGTATTCAGTTGGAAGATGAGAATATTCCTCTGCCCTGGTCTTTCATTGATAATTGCTTTACAAGACTTGCGAAACGGCCAGTCCCATATCTTGACCAAGTGAGCTCATTACCTAGCAAGTCATCATTGATAAGTCCAATTTTGGTAGTGATTTCGGAACAATGGCCCTTTATCGTGAAAGCTCAAGATGAGATGAACGAGCTTTCCACGGCTGCGTGGATTTCCAAATTACTCGGTTATTTGAAGGAGTATGGAGAAGATAAGAATGCGCTTACCTCCGTCCGTGACACGATTTTGAGTGAAACTAAGGTGAAAAAGTGCCGCTCGTTGCTTAAAAAGGCTTTTGATCATGGTATAGAAACGCACCGGCTTGTTCTGGGTGAAGAGGATACTCAAATGGGTGGTACTGGAACCCTTCCATCGCCATCAGCTACCCAGGAAGTGAACCTTTCAGATGTTTTCGGCGAAATACAGATGGCTGATGAGACTCATGCTGGCTTGCACAAATGGGAAAGAGAAGACCTTGAACTAGCAATAGACCAAGGGTATATCGGAGATCTCATACTTTGCGTCTGCTCTGAGCATGAAGAAGTTCGGCGTCAAGCTATGGCTGGTTTATCACGCTTCATGGCAAAACTCAAGGTTCGTTCTTTCTCACCAGAGTTATGGGAGGCGGGTTATTTGTTCTAATTTTCTTAAACTGAGCAGGAATCCTCGTTTGAAGAGCGTCAGGCAATATACATACTCATTGGCGAATTATTGGAAACAGTGAAGGGGCTAGGCCTTGACACACCAGCACCTTTTATTGTTGGAGAACTTGCAGTTCGCATGCTCGCTATTCTCACGAATCCTAGTCACAAGTTATACGGAAAGATCAACACTTTCCTGAACAGGAGCCCTCAATGGGAGGTTGGGAAGATCCCCTCGTATTGGATTGATAAAATACTCTACCACGAGCCAGAGAGCGATGATGGCAACCATGAAGAAATTGGCTGGCTGCTAGATTTATTTGTTTGCGGGCTTAAATCTGAACTGGTGAGTTATGCAAATCCGGGAACATGCTTCTGTTAAGTGGCTGACTATATGCTAGGACATGGACATATATCGACGAGCCGGCGTCTTTGAGCGGCTGTTCTCCCTGTATAGTTCCCCAGCATTAACAGGAGGACTGCGGAAGAAGGTCCTTCACTTGGTATATCGTGTTTGTGAAATCGGGGGCAGCACGACACTGATCACTCGGGCTGCTGCCCTCAGTTGGGTGCAAGGCCAAGCAGCGATATCCGACGCCCACAGCAGCACACTGCGAGCCCTTGCAACAGAGCTGTACCGTACCAGTTCCAGCGAATGGGTTGATCGCTGGAGTGGCTCTGCGTTGGCAGCGGCTGTTATGTCGACAGGGGCCTCGAGCGTACAGCAGTTGGCGTGCTGAAGCGTCCAGGCTGCTGCCTACCGTGGCACCCATTGACAGGACCGCCAGCAAAAGTAGATAAATAAATAATATATCTCATTGAAATCCCATACATCTATGATCTCCGCATCGACATAACAATCCTCTGTCATCGTCTTCTCTGGCGGCTTGCTAGGCTGGCTCGACTTTGGCGGTGGTGGTGGTGCACAAAGACGAAAACTCTAAAGCTAGCGACCGCTTTGTATCTTTTTTTCTCCATCACAGAAAATTCGCCCATTTGCGTCTCCAACCTCCAAAACAGAGCCAAACCAGCACAGCCATTGATCCCTACAAACCGCCTTTCTACGCATCCTGCTCCTGGCCTCGACCCCAAGTCTACGCTGAAGAAGAACTCCGATAGATCCCCCCCTGAGCGCCCTCAACTCTTCCACAGACCCACCACACCTTTAGCTTCGACCGCATCCCAACCAGCAACCCTTGCCACGAATTGACAGCACTTCTCTCTCATTCAACCGCAATATCAAGGAGACCGTTTGAACAAGATCAGACTCCCCAAGGCCCTCCCGATCAATCTCAGCTTTGTTACGCGCTCGATATTTCCCTACTATTCCCCCAGAGTTTGGGCCATGCGGCTTGGTTAGCCAATATACTCTCCCATGGCACGAAGATATTCACAGGAGGAGCTTTTACACCTGCGGGAGTCGCCTTTAGTGGTAAAACCAGATGGCTTGCCTCCGATAGAAGAATGGATGGGGTATGTATTCACTGCGTTCCTTACCCCTTCTCTTATATTAGCCTGGTTGAGCAATGCTAATGGTTATTTGCCAACCCACAGACCGCTTGTGGATGCATCTACACAGAAGAAACATACTGCCTCTAAAGAACAAACAAACCAGACCGAGTCTACTGCTTCCGCACGTAGGTCAAGTTTCTTTGAGCCGCGTCATTTATCTCGTTCCTCGAACTCGGGTATGTCATGCTACCACTGAACCGAACCCCCGCCTTACTGGTATTAACCCTATATTCTAGAAGACATCATACTAGGACCTCCTAAAACATCATTTTCTTCT